ATTTTTACATACATAAATTATTATTTTGTTTTTGACTAAACCTTTTCTTTATTTGAGAAATTAATTTTTGTAAGTTTACCCCCATGATATAATAATTATGCGTTTAAAATTTATTTCTATATATTCTACAGTTTTGAATATTATTAAATTCATATAGAAAGCTTAAAAACATTACTCAGGAAGCTTTTAAAAAAATATACATACATACATACATATTTATGTACTTAAAATTTTTGCGAATTTTTCCAAACTATTATAAGAATATTTTTTTGGAAATTTTCTTTAAACTTTTATATAACATTTATCTGTTATATGTATATTAAAAAAAAAATAAAACACAAAATTTAAATAAAATAAAAAAAAAATTTTAAAATAATGCAAAAAAATAAAAATACGACGACATCCAGGCAAGCATTGATCCAATAACCTTCTGGCTATGAGACTACCACGCTAACCACTAGGCTACGCAGTACCTTGAATTTGCTTTAATAATTCTATATTTTATTCATATTTCGTATAACTCTTCAAAAACCATCCTATTTTACATTATATATATATAGCTACTTCTCAGGTGGTAAAAAGTACGGGTACTTCTAGAAGGGCTAGAGACATGGGACAAAAGGCATTAGGTAGAGTTTTGCCTCTAGGGTACCAGAAAAATCTGACATTGGAACTTTTTAGCCTCGAAATAGCTCTATTTTAAGATTTTCTGAAAAAATTTTTGTATAACAAAAGCACGCTTTTCTTTTATACTTTTTATAATTAGAAACACAAACCAAGAAATAAATGATACGTTTTACGTTATTTTTATTATTAGAAACACAAACCGAGAAATAAATAATATTTGAAAATATAATGATCTCACATATTTTTGTTGCGGATAAACGAATTAATCTTAACGTAAATAAATGTCAGCTTTTATCAGACATCAGATGTTTTGTGACATCTGAATATTAATATTTCATTTGTTATTGTTTTGAACATTACGTTTCGTCAGCAAGCTTTAAAAAATATATGTACATACAGAATATATGTATGTACGTATGTAGTTAGAATTTTATTTTTATTGTTCCAAACGGAAAACTGTAAAATGCTAAATTTTAATACATTTATATATACACACATATATTTGAATAAAATTATTATTTTGTTTTAACCTAAACCTTTTCTTTATTTGAGAAATTTATTTCTATATGTTCACCCGCAGTTTTAAAAAAACTAGGTATACATTCATAATAACGTGTGTTTGTGTTAATAATTTTATTTCTAATTTTTCCAACAGCAAAATTTCAAAATTTTCGATTCTAATACATTCATATGTACATACGTTCATATGTTGGAACGAAAAATTTTAAAATCTTCAATTCTAATCCATTCATATATACATACATACACACATGTATTCATATATACATACATACATATATTTTTACATACATAAATTATTATTTTGTTTTTGTTTCTTTTTTAATTTTCGATTCTAATACATTCATATGTACATACGTTCATATGTTGGAACGAAAAATTTCAAAATCTTCAATTCTAATCCATTCATATATACATACACACATATATTCATACATACATACATACATATATATGAATAAAATTATTATTTTGTTTTTGACTAAACCTATTCTTTATTTGAAAAATTAATTTTTCTATGTTTACTCCCATGATTTAATAATTATGCGTTTAAAATTTATTTCTATATATTCTACAGTTTTGAATATTATTAAATTCATATAGAAAGCTTAAAAACATTACTCAGGAAGCTTTTAAAAAAATATACATACATACATACATATTTATGTACTTAAAATTTTTGCGAATTTTTCCAAACTATTATAAGAATATTTTTTTGGAAATTTTCTTTAAACTTTTATATAACATTTATCTGTTATATGTATATTAAAAAAAAAATAAAACACAAAATTTAAATAAAATAAAAAAAAAATTTTAAAATAATGCAAAAAAATAAAAATACGACGACATCCAGGCAAGCATTGATCCAATAACCTTCTGGCTATGAGACTACCACGCTAACCACTAGGCTACGCAGTACCTTGAATTTGCTTTAATAATTCTATATTTTATTCATATTTCGTATAACTCTTCAAAAACCATCCTATTTTACATTATATATATATAGCTACTTCTCAGGTGGTAAAAAGTACGGGTACTTCTAGAAGGGCTAGAGACATGGGACAAAAGGCATTAGGTAGAGTTTTGCCTCTAGGGTACCAGAAAAATCTGACATTGGAACTTTTTAGCCTCGAAATAGCTCTATTTTAAGATTTTCTGAAAAAATTTTTGTATAACAAAAGCACGCTTTTCTTTTATACTTTTTATAATTAGAAACACAAACCAAGAAATAAATGATACGTTTTACGTTATTTTTATTATTAGAAACACAAACCGAGAAATAAATAATATTTGAAAATATAATGATCTCACATATTTTTGTTGCGGATAAACGAATTAATCTTAACGTAAATAAATGTCAGCTTTTATCAGACATCAGATGTTTTGTGACATCTGAATATTAATATTTCATTTGTTATTGTTTTGAACATTACGTTTCGTCAGCAAGCTTTAAAAAATATATGTACATACAGAATATATGTATGTACGTATGTAGTTAGAATTTTATTTTTATTGTTCCAAACGGAAAACTGTAAAATGCTAAATTTTAATACATTTATATATACACACATATATTTGAATAAAATTATTATTTTGTTTTAACCTAAACCTTTTCTTTATTTGAGAAATTTATTTCTATATGTTCACCCGCAGTTTTAAAAAAACTAGGTATACATTCATAATAACGTGTGTTTGTGTTAATAATTTTATTTCTAATTTTTCCAACAGCAAAATTTCAAAATTTTCGATTCTAATACATTCATATGTACATACGTTCATATGTTGGAACGAAAAATTTTAAAATCTTCAATTCTAATCCATTCATATATACATACATACACACATGTATTCATATATACATACATACATATATTTTTACATACATAAATTATTATTTTGTTTTTGTTTCTTTTTTAATTTTCGATTCTAATACATTCATATGTACATACGTTCATATGTTGGAACGAAAAATTTCAAAATCTTCAATTCTAATCCATTCATATATACATACACACATATATTCATACATACATACATACATATATATGAATAAAATTATTATTTTGTTTTTGACTAAACCTATTCTTTATTTGAAAAATTAATTTTTCTATGTTTACTCCCATGATTTAATAATTATGCGTTTAAAATTTATTTCTATATATTCTACAGTTTTGAATATTATTAAATTCATATAGAAAGCTTAAAAAAAATTACTCAGGAAGCTTTAAAAAAAATATACATACATACATATTTATGTACTTAAAATTTTTGCGAATTTTTCCAAACTATTATAAGAATATTTTTTTGGAAATTTTCTTTAAACTTTTATATAACATTTTTCTGTTATATATTAAAAAAAAAATAAAATACAAAATTTAAACAAAATAAAAAAAAAAAATTTTTAAAATAATCCAAAAAAAGAAAAATACAACATCCAGGCAAGCATTGATCCAATAACCTTCTGGCTATGAGACAACCACGCTAACCACTAGGCTACGCAGTACATTGAATTTCTCTTAATAATTCTATATTTTATTCATATTTCGTATAACTCTTCAAAAACCATCCTATTTTACATTATATATATATATAGCTACTTCTCAGGTGGTAAAAAGTACGGGTACTTCTAGAAGGGCTAGAGACATGGGACAAAAGGCATTAGGTAGAGTTTTGCCTCTAGGGTACCAGAAAAAGCAAGAATTCCACCCGCCCTCCCCCTTCACCCCCTCCAAAGATACTTTGGTCCATTTTTTTACAAAATGGTACTACATCCTTATGGGGGTAATGTTTGTATAATTTTGATGGCATATATATTCGTAATAAGTTATATTCTATAAGTGTGAGTTATAACAAGAAAACCAAAAATTAATAATATCTACATATAGTTTTATAGCATGTACGATTACATACACATTTACTTATATACATATGTATTCTTTCTGCGATTTGCTACAAAGGTATAATCAATTATACTAAGGTACAATCGGAAAGTAATCGATACAGCATTGATATGCAATCATGTAAAAGACCTGTATGAAAATGTTTTAACAAAGTTTGTTGCCCAAAAATGTCAAAAATACACATAGAAATCGTATGCAATACGTATTACCCTATATACGTTAGAATTGGTGTTAACTCATTCTACAGTCACGCGTTTTATTCGCATGTTTTATAAACTTCAAATACATACGTGCATGAATTGTAGTTTATAATTAACAATAATTTATGGCTTAAAGTGTTTATTGTAAAAGGTATTTTACGATTTTATGCGACATAACTCAAAGTGAAGTTTTAAAATAAATTACTCAAAAGGTATTAGATTTCAAAGGAACTAATTATTTGTTTAATTATGTATTTTGGGTAATTATTTCTCAGAACTTTTTTATTTTAAGTTTTAAGTTTTATCTTATTATTTATCAACAAAAAACATATCTATATGTATATTACGGGCGTGTTTTTGAAGAAATAAAGTAAACATAAAATATCTCAGCCACAGAACGGAACACAATTTCAAAACTACAGGCATCATACTTGCAAGGCTTGCAATGCAAGCACACACGACTAGTTTTTAATAGAACCTACATGTGTATGATATTTCCGCAAAATATAATTGAAAACTGCCTGTTGCCAATTAATAAAGCATCTGGAGAAGCTTTAAACTTGTTTTCTCCTTTAAAATAGACTAAACTTTAATTTTACAAAATATAGAAAATATTAGTAAGAACTATAATATTAAATAGAAAATATTAGTAAGAACTGTATTTATTGTGTAAATAACTAACATTTGATGAATGTATTTTATAAAGTAGGAGTACTATGTAGGAGTGGACACTAAAAATAATATAAAAAATATATTTAAATTTGTTACATTTTTTATTTATTAAACTTATTATAAGTACAACATTATTATAAAAAATAAAACCAAATGTTTAATAGTATGTATTTATATATGTATATACATGTATATATATGTATATATATCTATACGTTATACATATATATGTATATACATACTGTAAATACAATAATAGATAAATGTATACATTTTAAAATGTTTTAAATAGTTGCACGCATTGTTTATTTATGTACACAATATCTCTTTACATTTCGTAGAGGTGGCGTTACTATTGAGATTCTATTTAAGTTCTTTGATAGTTTTCGTTATATTGCGTATAGCTGAAGAATTTTTGGTTAACGTTTTGTTTTTGCAACACTTAAGTTAAATTTATTTTCGTTTTAAACTACATATTTGATTTTTATTCTTTTTTGTAAAAAATTCGTAGTTCTATTTGAACTTTTTCATTTTAACATCATATTTTCTTATTTATACATATAAACATTCAATTAATAATATTTTTCTTTTTCATATTATATAGTATATTCGATAATCTTAACATGTTTGAAAAAAAAAAAAATTACTTTTGGATTAATTCAAAATTTTAACAATAAAAAGAAGATGGTTAAGTTAACAAAAAAGTCAAATGCAATTTTCTTCAATTTGATCGAAACGCCCGTATGCACTTCTTCTTTCTAACATATGTATATTTATACAAGTACATGATAATATTTTTATATACATATATATGTATGTATATATGTATATAATTAAATTTATATATTAAGTAAATACTTATATGTACATTATAGATTTATCAAACTATATATAAATTTACTTACAAGAATTAAATTGTTGTTACCAATGTGAAATTTAATCGAAAAAAATTTTACTAAATTATATTTTAACTTTATTTTCTTTTACTACTTAATTTAATTTTATTGTTTATGAACAAAAATTATTTTAATGTCAACTATGAGTTAAATGTATTCTACAAGTATTTAAAAAAATTGAAAGATGAAAACTTGTATGCATTTTAAATATAGATTTTTCAGTTTTGGATTTATGAAAAAAAAAAAACTTACTTATATAGAATGACAAATAGTTTATATTTCAATTTTAATTTTCCTTCAGTATATACTATTAGAACACTATTGATATTAAGAAACTTAGGAACTATAACAATTTTAAAATCTGGAGGTTCAAAATGAAATATTAAAATTAAACTAGATAAAACACATATCTGTAGTGTATTTTAAAAATAATATTAAAAATTCAGCTGATTAAAAATTTTTATTTAAATTTAAAAACTATTTTAATTAAAAAGTTATTATTGTTTTTTTTATTTGGAGAAAAATGAATTTTTTCTTGTTACAATACCCAATTTTATTAAAAATATCAAAACCTTTTTCAATAGCAAAAAGGTATTAAAATTTCGTGAAACTATTTTGAATTAACCTTTTTTTCAGTTTTCTCTATATTATTCTCTATACCAGATAGATGAAGAAGCAGAATAAAAATATTAAGATTTTATATTATTTTTTTTTTAATTTATTTAAATTATGGCACATTGACTCTGAGTCTGCTGTTATTAACTATTTTCAAATAATTTTTTAAATTGATTAATAAATTTTTGAATTTATAGAATAATATAAGTAGTCGCTAAGGAATAGTTAACATTTTCTTCTCTTTTACAAATTTATTTAAGACTCATATATGTACATATTATTGTGTCTGTTGATTTAATTTTAACTCATGTTGATCTTACTTCTGAATAAATTTCACTTTTGATATAACATCAATTTTTAGATTTAAACTAAAAACAGTTAATAATTTTATTTTACTTCAATTTTAATTAAACTAGGTTTAAATGTTTTAGTTATTATTAAAAAAAAAAACTAGTATTATAAAATTACAAAAAAAAAAAATCTACAGTCAAAAATTGCAAATAATTTAATTAATGAGAAGAACTTAATTATTAAAAGTGAGTAAACATTATTATACCAAAATTTCTATTGGCATTAATTTTTCATTTGACTAGCTAAGATATTCAAGTTATGTTTAACAGGGGATTTTGAAAATTAGTTATTAAAAAAGAAAAACAAAATGATAAAAGTAATAATTAAAACTAAAAAAAAAAATTTTTTTTTAATGCACGGCGGTATAGTTAAGTTCAATCAAAAACATTAAATATAACAGATTACCAATGCTTGAGGAATTTGCAATTATAAAGTGAAAATTCATATTTAAATTTCCCGAACACACTCAGTTCCATAGTTCAAAAATAATAACATTTATATAATAAATCAGTTCACAACAACAAGATTATACAATAAAATATGTATAATAAAAATTAAGTAATTCTCTTTTATCATTTTACTCTTTATCAAACTCTATGATTAAGTGTATTTTAAAAAGTATTGTATTTTAATATATTTGTTTTAAAAAAATTATTTTAAAATTATTAAACTTGATAATCTGTTATATTCAGTTTTTGATGCCACGTTTGCAATTTTTTGTATTTTGTTTTTTTTTTTTTATTATTTTTTTGTTTTTGTAATGAATATGAACTCAATTTAAAAAAAAAAATGAAATTCGTTTATAGTCTAGAATAACGTTAAAGACTTAGGTTGTTTTGCAATATGGCTCAAAATCTAGATAGTTTATCTCAAAGATGTTCATCGCCATGATATCCATTTCTTGAATTCAACGGTTGTCTTTCTTGATGATTACTAACAGGACGGTTTCTTTTGAAAAAGCCACACTAAAATTTAAAAGAAAGTATTATTAAAAAATTCCAAAATTTAACAGAAAACTTTTAAATAAGTTATTTAAGTTTTTTTTTGTTAAAGAAATATTACTTAAAAGGTATTTAAATTAATTTTTACTTAAAAATTCGATTAATTTATGCCTATAATTTTAATACAATTACTATACTAGGCTTCTTTTCTACTTTACTATTGAACAGTTAATGCTTGTATAACAATTTGCTATTTCTCAATTAAATTTGATATTTATTTACTTTAATTTCATCGATATTCTGCTACTTGTAGTATTTTTATTATTTCAGTTCTATTATTTTTTTACTTCTTCTCTCTTACAACACCTTTTAATCTATAAATTTAAAGCTTTTAAACGGCATAAGATTCTTATCTGGAATGAAGAGGTATCGTAAGGAAAGAAAAGTGAAAAATGACAACTTTAAAAGAAAATAATCAGACAAAAGGCCTGTTTATATAATTTGTGTGTGAGTATAATAGAAAACACAAATTTAAAGTTTGTATAGTGTCTCAACGAGTACTGTACTTAATTTATTTTCCATTTACGTAAAACAGAAAAATTTTAAATTAATAAGTACATATTCTTTTTCAAGGCACTTGCTTATTTTAGTTACAGTCATATAGTTTCTAGTTAATCAATAGTCACAGGTAATTCAATATTAATGAAATGATTTGGCTTTATTTGAAATCAAGTTATCACGTTTTGTTTTAAAACCGCAGAAATATAATATAATTTGTTAATAGATTTTGATTTGGAGTATATAGAACCTATGTGATTTATATATACCTATAGATATATCTGAAAGTGTTAAATCTTTATACAACTACTCTCATTTTAATTTTACATAAAAGCTTTAAAATATTAGGAAAAATACTAATTAAGTAAAAAAAGATGAAGCAATAAGTGCTTTTCAATATTTTTCTTAGTAATTCTCAATTTACTTACTTTATACAGAAGAAAAACAAGAAGTAACAATATAATTGCTCCAGCACAGGCAGATAATACAACTACCCATAAAGGAACTGTATCTATTGGTGGAATTGGTTCAGGAATAGCCTTGAAAAATATTTCATGGCTTTTAATTATGTTTTCACCTGGTCTACCAATATATGGTAATTTTGTTATTTGAGCTATTGCTAAAGTAGAAATATTTATTGGAACATTCTCTGCTAAATCTTTTAAAGTTTCCGCAACTAATCTTGCTCGGATAGCAATCCAAACACCATCATCTTTTCCTAAATTATTGACAACACATCGAAATGTGGCACATTTAACTGTTCTACATAACTCGATGGTTTCGTTGTTATCAATTAAAACTTGTCTTTTGGACCGACGATTATCTTCGTTATAATTATAACTTTCAAAATTTTGAGCTGAGGGTCTTCTTGATATTGCAGAATTATACGATTCATGTGTGACATAAGGATGGCCAGATCCATGAACTTCATGTGTCCTAACAAATCCTTGACTACTTCTTGCTCCATCATTATGAAATACTGGATCACTGGTGTCAAGTTCATTTTTTTCAACTACATTGAAATTAAATCTTGTCCCATGATGTGATGCTGTTGATGGAGATAGTTCATAATTTATTGGCGCAACAAATTCCTGATCCTTAGAGGAATGCGACGTGTATCGCGACATTGGACGGTCATAATTTAAATTGTTATAAAATTCTGTAGTATGTTCAAAAACACGTGTTTTTCCTTGGTCATCGGATACAAAAGTCTTATTTCTAACAGTTGTTATCACAACTGGTTTTCCATCAGGACCTACTTCGGAACGCCATGAGGTTGTGTGATAAGTTGAATAGCCTTTATCATCTTTTCTATTAGACGTTTCTTCAGCTCTTTGGCTGTGAACTAAGGAAGCATCACCGGTTGATTCCGTTTTTTCTTCTTCAGCAAACTTTCGTTTTTGCTCCTCTGTTAATATCCTATTAGTTGATTGAGCACCATGACTCGAAACTGAACCGTACGATTGTTGCACACGAATTCCACCGCTACTAGAGCTTGAACTGGTCTCAATAGCACCAGTCGAATGTAGATAACTTTTTGAAGATAAAGAAATATCATACTCCAACTCTCTCACGTTAATAAACGGGAATGGATCGCAGACTATATTTCCACTAGTTTCAGGTTTATTCATTACGTACATCAAGGTTTTGCCGGCCAATGTTTGATGTGGCCAATGAATATATAAAATGGCTTCTTCAAAAGCTGAAGGTCCATTGTTTCTTAAATTATAAATATGTACTAAATGCGGACCTAAATCATTTTCTGATGTAGCATTTTCCAAAGATTTGTATTTAGAGGCTGAATAGTGTGCCAAATCAGGATTAGAAGTACTAAAAATAGAAAATAATGTAATTTTTGAAGTGTGCCTTTTAAACTTTTTTCTTACCCTTCAATTACTACATCAGTTTTAACCCAAACATTAATACTTTTTTTGATCACATTATCAAATTGTGATCCTTCTCTTTCAGGATTTGTTGAATTTGCTTCTATGTAAAAGTTGTACGATGGTGTCATTTGTGCTTTTTCAGAAGGCATCATAATAACTTTAAAATTCGCCACTTTTCCTGACGTGAAAGGGTTTCCTATGTCACATTTTAATGTATAATTTGCAATGTCTTTAAGCGTTGTGCATGAAATTGGTGTTTCAGTAGAAATTTCTTGAAGTTTTCTAAAATTAAGATCATTCGGAACAGTCATATAAAAACTAGTTTCAAACGCGTCTTCCCCTCCATTTGTAATTAATATTTCAACTTCTAACGGTACATTTGAACCTAATAAGAATTTATCAATTGTTTTAACGGTTAAATGTAAGTCTGGATAACAAATATTATCTGGTCCACAATTTTTCTGAATATTTATTGAATCTCGCTGGATAATTTCACGATTTTGGTCAATCACTGGCGTCAAAATGCTTCTTCTTTCACGAATGGATGGTTTTACTCTATTGCTGTATAACTGATATCGCATTTCAACTTCCAAGGGAGTTAATTTATCACGAATATTTTCAATAACATAAATCATTTGTCTGCGGCACAGCTTTTTACCATATTCCAATCGTATTGTAGAATTTTGTAAGTTTTTGCCTTCGTTCTCAATGAAAAACATTCTAGGATTCTTTAAATTTTTAGCATCAAGTAACCAAGAAACATCGAAATCTATTTTTGGAGTTAAAAATTTTAAATAAAGTTTAAACATTTTTTTAAAATTTCACAATAATTAATTCGATACCTAAAGCTGGTGGTAAATTTACGCCGTCATATCTCCAGCAAGATTCAATTTCCGTGCAAGCTAATTTTTTTCCATCTCTTCGTGAAACACAAGCTTTATGTTCAAGATTAATCAATTTGTTTGGTAAATGAAATTGAGTAGAAGCTTCAACCACAGCCACGGGACGAGCTCTAAAGAAGATTTAAAATTGTTTCAATAATTTCAAATATAATTTTGTTCGAATGTAATTAAAAACAAAAAGGTTAAAGTGGAGCTACAAGTAAAATTCTAAAGCATTTAATATCACATAGATTGTGTGGTTTAAAAATGTTTTTCGTTGTTATGAATAACAAAATTAAATGATTTTCTTCCTAAATTTTTAAAAAACTTAAACATCTCTTACTTAAAAACAAAAACGGTATCAGAATCATAAGCCCCAACAGCTAGATCCGGATACAAATTGCCATCCATATCTAGTCCTCCAGCTAAAGAAAATCCAAAAGTTCTGGGATAGTTAGAAGTCAAAATATCTTCTGCATATATAACTTGCGAGTGTTTTTTTAAGGGACCATCTCTTGAACCATGAAATACATACACCGCACCTCTGCCGTGATTACCATCATATGGTGCACCAACAGCAAAGTCCCCAAAACCATCTTGATTTATGTCACCTAAATTTGTTACAGCAGTTCCAAATCTACTTCGACTTTTGAGACCATCACGATGATGCACAATTTGAAATTTATTCTAAAGTTAAGCAGGTTAAAAAACAAAAAAGAATTTCTATTATTTTTAAATTTAAAATTTTAGCAAATTTTTATACAAACATTTTGTTTTTGTAGCATTATATAGACACGTCCCACATCATATTTTCCTTCATTGTTTGGTTCTGCGTACATTGGCGCTCCGATTATTAAATCATCTAATTTATCGCCATCAACATCGGCAGTACATAATGCATAACCAAAATATGCACCAATTTGTTTTCCCGTTATATTCAATGTATTTGCCATATTCCATTTATAAATTGCTATCTTTCCTAAGAGTTCTGCTCCTCTAGGCATACCAACTGCTACATCTTCTTCTCCATCATTATCAAAATCACCTGCTACCATAGAATATCCTAAATACGAATCATCATCGCTCGAATAACTTTCTCTTGTTGCATAAACAATTGTTCTACGATCCATAACATCGAAGGAATAAGTTTGACCTATAAAATTATTTTGTAAATTTGAAATTTTTTTAATATTATAACACTCTCCTATGTGTTTGCTTGTGAGTTAGCTTTCGCAAGTATACGATTAGTAAATTTACGCACATGCAAAATTAATTCTTACAAACGATATCAGTAATCTACATAAAGCTACCTGTTGTAAAGGTGTTACTTTATTAAGCATTTATTTTTATTGAAATTAATTTCTTAAAATATTCGCCAGATTTAAATATCACATAAACAATACCATAAATTTTTGAGAAAATTTGTATCATACTTTTTTTAAAAAAAAAATTTACTAAATTTAGAGAAATTTGATATAATTAATTACAATAAAATATTTAAGCAACTTGAAAAGCAAATAAGCTAAAAAACATGCTATTTTACAAGTGACTAATTTTGGTTGGTTTACTGCTTATGAACATAATATATACAGATACAAACTATACTTGAGTAGTTTCATTAATAATCATAATAAGGCATTAGTTTTCTACCTAGGGAATCTACATATAAAGAGAGTGCATTAATAGAATGTGCATTAAAAGTGTTAAATTTAGTAATAATAAGAGGAATACATTATATGAGTATAAAATATTTTTAAGAGTTCATATAAGATTTTTCAAGTTCTACATCTCTTAATAAGAATTATTTCAAATATAGTATTTAAAATTCAACAAATAAGCAAGAAATCACTGAAGTATTGCAGCTGGTTCATATATTTTGCATTCGACACCTTAAATCTTATAATTTAAATAAACAAAATCAAATAGGAACAAAATGTTGAAATCATTTCAACTCAAAATAGTTAAATATGGCGAAACGATGAATTCTAGTTTTGACCAAATCTAATTTATTTTATGGTTTTTTATATATTTTGTATATGTACTTGCAAATTAAGTCCATATCAACTAATTTACTAAACAAAGTTATTTATAAATTATTGGAATTTAAAAGGCAATGTAAATATAAACTGTCTTATTTTATAATATCGGAGGTGAATAGCTTGTGTCATAACACGAATCACAACATGATGAATTTGTCGGAGAAAAATGTCTATACTATTACTATATAAATTTTTTATAAAATGATTTTTTGTTCCTAAAGCCGTTTCTCGAGAGAATATAAAAGAATAAAAAATTAAAGGAAATATTGCGATTTTAACTTTTTTTAAGAAATTTTATTTTAGACCCCACTTAAAGATATATTTCAAGACTCTATCAATCAATTGACGCAAATGTCTTTGAACAAAAACAACGTAGTTAAAGATCTGCTCAGTGATACCCCAAACGAACACACATATATAATTAATTTTTTTTCTTAAGCCCTCCAAGTATTTTACCAATTTTACACGAACACCCTCCAACTTGAACCATCAGTGGTTGATGAATAGCTGGCAGCTGTTCACGATGATCTATAGAGTGATTAGACTTACGACACTTAACATATCGTTGAAAATAATATTATGTAAATTCATAATCATTCTCCATATTATGTGGCTGATTTCAATAACGAATTGTCATAGCCACTATAAATCAAGAACTTATATGGAGAAATATTTTAGATAGCGAACTTTTTAATGATGACTATTGAGCTAAAAGTTTTCTAATATTCATATAGAGATAGAAACATTGTAGCACAGATTTATAAAGAAAATATTTAAAAAATATTTTTAACTATTAAGCTTTTCTTAAGAATCGAAAATTATTTTTATGAAAGCGTACATGTAAAAGTTATAAATATCCATATGTGTACAAGCAAAATATAATTTGAAGCGATTTTACAAATTTGAAGCGCAATAAGCTTAAAAGTTTCTATTGTACAAAGCCTACCAAATCTATGCAAATAAATATGGGCACAGAGGTGTGATCTATATGATCCTTTTTTAAAGCCATAAGAAATTTTATACGTTTAAATAGGCACTCTTGTATAACACATTTTTCTTAAAAAAAATCATTTATAAAGTTTATATTTGTTAATAAGTACATACATACATATGTTGTTTGTTTTTAAGTTAATGAGATTAGCTAGACAAACATAATGTTATATTAATAAGATGAAAAGAAGATTAAGTATAATAGTTTAATTTGTATGATATAAAATGAGCAGACAATTTAATTTTTGTCTTAATTTCAAATGAACATAATACAAAGTTTTTAATCGATCCATTGTTTTCCAGATGGTATACGAAGCATTAAGATAACATAAAGAAAAATGCAAATGTCGAATATAACAGTTAAATTTTATAACTTTCATTTACTAACACTATACTAATTATTTATTTAACAATACGCAAAAGATAATTAAATTGAATTAAAATTCGTGTTCAAAAGAATTTTTTTTTTAATAAATCCTCTAACACAATTTTCCTTCTATATGTATGTTCAAACTTTTAAGTGAAACGGTAACACTAACACCATAAAATAAGAGTATTATGAATATCTATCCCATTTTAAAACAAAAATATTGAATTTACATAAAATTAAAATTTATTTTTCGAATTGAATTGAGGAAATATTTTTTTGAGTGTCCAAATGTATGAAATATGAGGGGGAATAAGTCATTCTGGCAACAGTACACTGCAGATTTAAACATTTGAAATAATGAAAATCAAAGTAATATAAGAAATAATGAAATATGTTAATTTAAAAAAAAATAATAATTAAATAAATAGATTAGGTAGGAAAATTCTTCAGAATACAAAAAAAAATAATAATTTGCTTAGCGTTATGAAGTAGCTAAAACACACAATTATATAAACACACATTTCCAAGTCTAGTATGGGGCTGTTTGTGTGCATTTTGTTAAAAATAGTTTTTATGTTTTAGAAATTGTATTTTAATTTACTTTCTGGTTAATTCTTTATTTTCAATTCAAATTTAATACTAAAAAAAAACAAAATTCTTTGAATTTATTGTAAATTTAAATCGTTACAAAAAAAAAATTATAGAAAAAAAAAATAAGTTTACCTCCTGCCCCAAAATCTTGGTAAGGTGGTGGCTTGTATGGGAATGTTGCATCAGTGTGAATTGAATAAACTTGTCCTTTTTTATTTATTTAGTGTTGGCATTAATGTCAAAAAATTTTTTTTTTATTTTTTTTTTTTTTGTTGTTATAATGTTTTTCAAAACGGATGATGATCGAATTGGTTAAGGGAAAATTAACATGCAGAAAAAAAAAGTAATACGGTGGAATTTTATTATAAAAAATTATTTTGATAATATTTATTATTATATTTATAAGAAAAAAACAAAAGACAGATTCAAATCTGGAATTTACTGGAATGTAAATCCAATAAACTTATCAGCTGAACCAGGTATAGAAAAAAAAATTAACTGCATTGCGTCTCAACAAAATTTTACAAAATATTAGAGAAAAATTATTCTCTGTACTGTAATTCAATGTGTAGATTATTCGAGACAATTTGACGACCCATAAACAGAATAAATTTGAATTTAAAACATCTACATACATATGTATATTTAAATTTTTTATTCAAGCTTCCTAATCTTATTTAAAACTGGGGTGCCTATTTCTATGACATTTCATACTTTATTCCACTATAAAACATATAAAATATTAAATTAAAGGATTTTATGCAAAATAAATTTTTTTAATTTTTTTTTTAAATAAAAAGCAATTGATGTAAAAAATGGCCTAATTATATCAATGGCGGCTCTCTTTTTTAACAGATAACATTTACAAATAAAGTTTATGTCATAATTTACAGTTATTAATTATTATAAAGCAACAATGACGTGTATTATCTATATTACTGTTGCAGCTTTTGCAGTTATTTGTCTGCTTTTTTTTTTAATTTTTTTTACAAATGTTGGACAAAATTTTTGATGGGTTTTGAATATTTTTCAAAACGATTTCATACTAACTTCGATTTCGACTTCTTATTTTAATCGCATTATGGATTTTTGAGTTTATATAACAGAAATATCTGTATATGGCATCTGTATCAGCCACAATTTTTGATAACATATTTTTGTTCTTTTACGTCCATTTATTAAATTTTTTTATTACTATTTAATTTTCAATGAGGTTTTAATCATATTACATACATTTTAAATTTGTGAGTGAACAAGCATAAAGATAAAATATTGTTGACACTTTTGCCTTTATTTTTAGGTACAATAAAACATAGACAAAATAAACACAGACAGACAATTCTTTATATAGACGACCTTGTAAATTGATAAGTAGAGATTCATATTCTAAAATTACAATATAAAACATATAAAAAAATTAATAACAATATAAGAAGCAACAATAAAATTGGCATTATAAATCATAAAAATGATTTTGTTAACCGAAACATACAAATAAATGTACGTATTTTAAGCATTTAATATTTTTTTAAAATATTCTTATTTTGGAAATTAATATAAGGTATAACAAAATTTTTAGGTATAGAAAATTCCTGAATATATAAGTAGGTAGGTATATATTAAAATATATTATACGAACCTTATAATCTAGAGATTTTTAGCTTTCCTATATTGAACTTATATTGTCAAAATTACTATTAATATTTACACCAATATTTTTAAAAGGGTATATTGTTACAATACAATTCATTTTTAAAGAGTTTAATAATATCTATTAATATAATATATAAAGCTACAGTTTATTACTTACTTTACTTCACTTTATAAAAATTTACCACAAAAAAAAAAAAAACCAATAAGGGTGCAGTGTAATTAAATCGAAAGGAGTGAAAACGGCGATTGCATTTAAGATTTCGAAAATTCGGATTGAATGGAAAACGTAAACAAAATTAATATTGACAAATTGAAAATCTGTTTGGCGTAATCTTTATATAAAGTCTCCCAAACACGAAGAAACATCAACAAAATAAGAGTAACAATAAAGATGATTAATTTGAGTAAACAAAGAAAGCATTACAGAATTTTTTTAATTTAAATTAGAAATGTATTTCAATATATATTTTCAATGACCGCACAATAACATTATTTTGGTTGCTTTGAATTGAATATATTTTTACGATATTACAGAATCGACATTTTGTAATTAGAGTATCGAACTGAATCCACTCTATATTACGATTTTGTTTTTCTTTTATGTATATAGTAAAACCATTTTTCGATTTTATTACACTGCACCAATATTTAACATGCTTCTTATGCAACATACATTTTAAAAAATAATAAAACTTCTCGCAGGATATGGAAAAACATCACTCTATATAACAAGAAATATAGCTAACTAAGATTAGGTAAATATGAAATTTATAATATAATAGGTATTGACATTTATTTATAAATTAATATAATATTTAAGTATATCTAAAACAGGAAAAATACTACAATACTTTCACAAATATATTGTATAAAAAAAATACTTAAGAAATGCGATTAATTTTTGGAAGGTTTCAACTACATTTTATATATATATATATATATATAGGTTACAAAGTATTACTAAAACGAATTAAAACGAATTTGAAATTTAGAAAATTATTGAAAGGTATACATAAAAAAAAATGGTAATACTTTTATTAAAAAATATATAATAAAAATACTTAAGAAATTTTATTTTAAATTGACAATAATATAAAAAAAAATATTGGAAAAAATATTAAAAAAAAAATACTGCAATCTTATTTCAAAACATCTTTTTCAATACTAATAATAATATAATAGAAAATTATCGTTTTGTATAATAGAAAATTAAAAAAAAGAAAATTTTTTATAATTCTTACCCTGCCAATACCAGCTGCCTGGAGCACCAATGAATAATCTATTACCACTCTAAAATAAAAAACAAAATTAATTTATTTCATATAATTTCTTTTTAGTTTTCATTTTACCTTGGAAATCGCTGCACTAAATCCAGCTTGACACGAGCCCTGACGATGGTATCCCCAAAAATCTAAAATAATGTAGGTATACATTTAATTGTTTTTAGTTTTGAAATTAATTAATTTAAAATAATAAATAATATAGGAAATTGAATTATAACAGATTGAAATATAACAGAAATTATAAGGGGCGATTTTAATAAAAGACGTAAACACGTTTTTATGAGTATATATAACCTATAAGACATTTATTTTATATATAAAAAAACTTACTTGTCCGGCAAGGTGAATATTCCGTAAAAACTGTGAAATTTTTTGTTGCAGTAAAGCAGGTTCCAACTGGTTCTATTCTTTCTACCTTAGATGGTTGCATTGTATGGAAAACATATCTTGGAGCACAAGCCTATAATTTTTTATAGAAAGTTAAAAACAGATTCACTATATTTGAATTTTTGTTTTGAAAATTTATTAAATATTTCCTTTGAATTATCTAAAATCTCGGGATTGCGAATCTTCTGTAATACATAATTCTATATATATGCAAGTATAATATGTATTCTTTTGAATTGATTATGAACACTACTTTCAATTAAATCGAAAATTGAAAAACTAAGTAAACCTTTTAAAGAATATAATTGAACTATGTAGATTGTTTATAAAAATTATGTAACTTTATAAAATAAAACTGTTGTTTATAAAATAAAACTTGTAAAATAAATCGATTACATCGATTCTCTATCAAAGCGTATTTTGAATTTTTAATATATGAGGATATGGCAACTTTACAAAAAATATTGTTTTACTTGTATGTGTAGAGGCAGCATAATTTATGCTATTAAATATAAGTTACGGTTAGAAGTCATTTTCCTGGTTACTATTTTGCATTTATTTACATTTGATTGATCATACTCAGTTATAAAAGGATAAACGATATTTGAAGTTATTTAGAAGAATAACATTAATGTATAAATTGATGTATTAAACGTGCAAATCAAAAATAAACAGAGACTGCACTCTTTTTATTTCTCATATGGATCAAATTTAAAAATTATCGTTTAAATTAATAAAGCAATTCAGATACTAAAATTGAAAACACCAAATATAAAAAAAAACTACTAAATAAATTTCTAAATCCCTCCAAATATTTGTGAATTTATTTAAACATCACCACAGCATGATTATTGAATTTATCACACTTGAACATAATTTGATTCACTCATTCCTATATTTATATTTATAATTCGTTTAAATGCATAACAAAAACACACACACACATCTTTTCCATAGCAAAATCATCAAATAATAAAAAAAAAAACAAAGAAAATCACAAAATTTTTATAAAATCCAATTTAACCTATAATTTTTAATATTAAGTTTTAGAACTGACCTCATTTGTAATTTAAATCAGTTTATACAAACATTTAAAAAAAAAAACAACAATTTTAATATGACGGTGTCATACTCCCATTTCCTTGTAAAAGAAAACCAATTTTATGCACATTCAACCCCATAAAAATAAAAAAAAATACTTTCTACCCAAACAAATCGACTGTTAAATAAATTAAATGATAGAAATCATCCATGTAAAATAGTTTTACTGACCACCCTTCTTTTTTTATAGTAACAAAAAACTTATTGTTATGCTCATTTTGTCAAATCACTGCCATACCTTTTAAAGTACTACTATATTTCCAGTTTAATTTATCAAAGAAAAGAAATATTTTAGAAGTCCATTTAATCCCGTGTAACAATTTTGTAACAAATTTGTTTAATTAACTGAAAAGATTTATGAAAAATAAAGACTAATATTTTGGAAGAAACCAAACTAATTTGTTAATTTTTAAGAAAATTTTAATATTTTCGAATAGATTTGCAAAAAAAAAATGTATTCAGAAATAGTGAACAAACAGCATTTAAGGAGATTTTAATTGAAAACAAAATTAATTAATCAAATTTATTTCAAATATTTTTTGAAAAATAAATTTTGATACTTCTTGAACTTGAGATGCCCTAGGTTAATGATTAATTTTAAAACACAAAATAGAATCTCTAAGAGCCATTTTCGTAACAAAATTCAAATTCTGTATACCAGCCGTCGGAAAAGTGCAGCCCATGAGCATCATGCGGCCTATATAACTTCAAAATTCGGTCAATCATTCTGCTTGTAAGAAAAAAATATTCTTAAAATTTCAAAAAATTTTCTTAAAATTTTTCTTGAAATTTTAAGAACGCAATTATAGATAATATAGATACAGGTATCACAATCAATAAAGTCAGTTGAAAATGTCATTTCTAATATAAGAAACTCGAGTGACCCAATTTCATATTTACATATTATATTTGCCTATAACCAGCAAAAAGCAAAGTTTGCCAACGGTTGCTATGCACTGAAAGCTTTAATACTTTTGAGTAATATCTCATCACGGACTGTAGGTAAAAGAGTATAATTGTGTTCATAGAATAAGCGATTTCATAAAAGGTGCTTTCCAATTTAAACTAATTTATTTTTCTGAAATATTCCGAATTTTCTAAAATAGCCCATAGCTTGAATCGAAAATCAAAATAAAAATTTGTTTTGTACAACAAACACTTTACGAGTATATCATTATCAAATCTATATCCGAAATTCATAAATATAATACCAAAATTTACCCATTAATTGTTTGAAGGGTGTAAATATTTACAAGTTGGTGAACATATATTTTAAATTGTCTTTCAATTTTTGATAGTGAACACATAACTATTGATCTTATTTCATAAAAACATATACTATGTAAAGCTACAACGAAGACACTCCCTTCTTCGAATTGATTTAATGACCGAAATATAATTTTATATCAAAATTTATTGATCCATTAAATTGACTATTATCCGGATACCGTATAGTATCATATAACTAAACTTCTCACGCGAATAAACTTTTCTTTCTATTTCAATTTCCTGTTTTTATACAAAATATTTATTGAACTAAAGTAATTATACAACAAAAACTAAAGTACCTGGACATTTAACATGTTTTGCGCTCTCATTATAGTTGATATTTTGTATATCAATAAGTAAAAAACTTTTCCCAAATTATATTTTTCATTTTATTTTTTTGTAATTGGAGGAACCTACATTATTATCCAAATATAGATAACTCTCATTTTTATTAAATCTATCGTCATATCACAATTTGTCGGGAGCCTAAAGGTACTAAAATGCCCTACAATAGTTCGCATTAAAATGTGATGTATAAGTTTCTCAACTGAATTTAAAATATTTTTTGAATTTTTTATTGTTATACTTTTTACTCTCCTTATGTTCAGGGCAGTTAAATGCAATAATGTCATGATTGAACTTAAAGTAAATATACAATAGACTATACAGAGTATAAAACATTGAGAAAATATGTATGTAGGTGTTTTCTATCTTCTTGGAAGAAAAAATAAAACATATTATGAATAGCAATATGTAAACGAAAAATTTTTACAAGTAAACGTAAAAAAAATCTTTACAAGTTACAAATAAAATTATTGTTCAATTAGTTTCGTAATCAAGCTTTTTAAAAAAAATTGCAAAATAATTTGTTAAAAATAACAATTTTGAAACAAGAAATTATTGTGTTCGCACGTATTTATAAAATATTATATGATATGTGTACTAATTATTTGGATGACAAAAAAATATTCTTAAAAAGGATTGCATCTAGTTTAAAATTAATAATTAAATACTTCACATACTATTAACGAAAAATTCAGTTGAAAGTTGTACAAAGAAGCTACGAGTGGAGATTTGAATCTTTTTTAGGATTAGTCTAAATAAGAAGTATAAAATCTCTAAATCTAGCTGCAGCACGATTGCAATGGTAGATTTGCATTATAGTTGACATAATATGTAATTTAATTATATCACATTAAAGAATTATTTTAAAAATTTTAGTGTTTTTTAAGTTAAAAATTTATACGATTAAAAAATCTATATACTTACAACAACTGGACCATTTTCTCCACCACTTGAAATTGTTGCTCCAAGCCACTGATCGGATTTTGTATCAACTTTTTCATTTCGATCATTATATTGATTTCCTATAAAATAAAATCAGCTATTTTATAGTTACTTTCATTATATTTTTTATTATTACATATTTTGAAATTTATATACACCTACATAATTATATATGTTTATACACTATGTACATAATATGTAAGTATGTATAGTTTTCAGTGTTCTAGTATGTATAGTAAAATAAAGTAAAATATACAGAAATATAAAAGTGTATTTAAGAAAAAACTATAACAATAATTGTGATATAAAAAAGAAATTATTGCATTTCTTGGAAAATAAAAATAAAATTGATAAGCTAGAACATACTACAAAACATAGACAAAATTAATAGAACCTTAAAGCGTAACGAAGTTCGATTAAAAATTTAATCACCCATTATCACTTGAGCGAATGTAACTGTTTTTAAAAAAATATTTCCCATTGAGAATAAATTCTGAACTCCCTTGATCGTTGCATAATATATGTATTTATATACCTTTTATCGGAAAAACTACATAAATACATAAGATTTTTTAATTATAATCGTTTTAAACTTTTTGTTTTGAATTATAAATTATTTTCGAATAATATGCCAGATTTAGCATTTTAATGTCTATCCATCCTCTTGTCTGTTCATTTGCAAAACTTCTTCTTCAAAACAAAATTTTTAAATATCTTTCTCACTGCCCTCTCACTAATTTTTAAAATAGGCAGAATACACGTTTTTTTTTAAAATAATGTGTCCAGTTCACAAGCTGTTTGTTAATTCTGCAAACACTCTACTTAAAACAAATTATAAACAATTGACATGTGTTTTAATTGACCCATTCAAATGACTTTTATCCCAAACCAGTTTTTCGCTAAGTAATTTTTCTTCTGCGCAGTAGTTCAAATAAGTCTTTATAGATTTCGTTTACAAAATAATTTGGCACTTCGCTTCCGTCAAGGCAAACCCGGTAATTTCTGGGGCGAATCTATCCACTTTTTTGCGGTGGGAATTCATTCCATACAACTTGGCGTAAAGATTTATACGCCAAGTTGTCTGAATCTACGATCCGTCTTCCAGACTACTAAAGCAGCCTATAACAAGCTTTTATTTCTCTTTAATTTATGGAAAACTATATAATAGCAAGCAAAATGTTTTTTAAATACATACAAGATCTCGACTTAAATTATTAAGGGAAAATGTGCTATTTTACAAACCACGTATTTTATTAGCTACATTTTAATGAATTCATTTTAATGTGTCATAAAAATTAAATTATGTTAATATTATATTAACAATTTCACACTCTCTGATGGTTTGTTTTCTTGTTTTTTATTTTTGTTTAAAATATGCTTGTGATCAAAATTGTACCTTTTATGATAATTAGTTTATTGGATATGTTCTTAATGCGCGCCAAAAATTTTTTCCTATACAAATACTTTTCACAAATTTTCTATCGGACTCTTTTGTTTCATTTAAAATTTAAAATAATTTAATAAATAATTTATATTATTCAATTTTCCGTAAAAGAACCTGCATTATTAATTCATTTATAGAAGGAAAATAATAAAACAAACAAATTTTAATATATTTAAAAGAATATTTTTAAAACGATCATTTTCGGAAAATCACTAAGCTCGATGAAGATGGGCCTAAAAGTTCATGTACAATTCTCATACGATTCAACGTAATAATATACAACTGCTAAATTTTTGTCTCAGTTTTCATTAATGTAACTGCTGCCAAACTACGGTATAGGGTGAATAAAATTACATTATTGAAAACTGTAAATTACATTTTTGTAGAGCTGTTGTAGAAAGTGTGTGGACCACAACCTGTGTTCACTATAGTATTTTTTTTATTGAAAATATTGCTACAGGTAACAAAATGTTAAAGTCGTTCAAATTTAAAATCCGTTTAAATATTATATTTAGACTTAATATGGGATTCGGAATTCAAAAGCAATATGCAATGAAGTCGACTTAGTAATAGTTCAGAATTGAAAAGAAAAACAGTTTTAACAAATAAAGTGCTTTTATTAATAATAAATCTGACCATTGGTGCAGTGGTTATGGCACCGGTCCTTTAACCGAAGGGTCTCGGGTTCAAACCCCGGTCAGGTCACTATAAAAATTATATTCAATATTATTATAACTTAATATACAATACTAATAAATATTATACAAGTAATTTTCAAATATTCGTAATATTCGATATTAAGAAAAAAAAAAAACTAAGAAAAATAAACAGTAAATATTAATAACCTCAAATAATTAATATGAATAAAACTACGGCAGGCTAGTCACCTACCTAGTTAAACTATGACGCTCCTTCTAGGAGTGAATAAAGGAAAACAAAAAAAAAAAAAAATTAATAATAAATAAGGCGAAAAATTCTGTCCGTATAGGCAGTATAATTTCAATTTTCTTCAATTTCCCACAAATTTTCAGCTGCACAAACGATAGTACATACGCTGACATTATTGAATATAAAAGTACATACTGTTGCAATTCTTCTATAGTACGTTACCAAAAACTGTACATTGTAGAAACACCGTATATATATATGCTTTAATGAAGACAGCCGGTCTACGTCTTCATTTTTTGAAATCAACGTCTTCGACGTAAATTTTGAGTCTAAGGTAAATATATTTTTTTTTTAATATTCAATCTGTTATATCTGTATAACAGCACTTAGATTTATTAAGTAGCTATATTTAAATTTTTAATTATAACGAAAAAATTTAAAAAGATTAAAATTTAAAAAAGAGAAAAGCTAAAGAACTTAAATTATACATATATACTAAAATAAAATAACATAAATTTAAATTTTGATTGTGCGTTGAAAATTAAAAATAATTTTTTTTCCAAGTGATAAAAACAAACCGAAAATTCAACTAAACTACATAAGTTCCAAATTAAAATTTTGTATATTGAACTTACTTAACAAAACTCACCTTTAAGGGTGACAAAACATTTTGTCTGACCTATATTTAATTAATTTAAATACGTTTAATAAATTTTGGTTAAGTATAACAGAATAAATTTTCAAAACAAAATAATTATTTATATTGTAATAATCATAATTAAATATGTATACACTTTAGTACGTCTTTTATAATTTTTGAAGTTTACACAAGATATACTTCACCTTTTACTACTTGAAATCATGGCATTCTATGTAAAAACATCTAGAAGATTTACTTAAGATTGGTTTTGAAATTAATTCATTTATTTTCGTAGGTCTATCTGCCCGTTTATTAAATTTGAAATTAGAACAAAGAAATTTTTGAGAATTTTAATCAAAGTCTTTAATATCTATATGACCTATAAATTTCAGTATCATCCCGAATTACTACACAACTTAACAACTACAACTCCTCAACGGAATGCTACATAAATACCCTATTGTCCCAATAACATATAACATTAATAACACAACAGTATGTATAAGAATACTAAATTAATTAAGGAATATTATTTAGTTAATTAAAGCAGTCTTCGGCTTTATAATCATATATTATGCTTGGACCATCAATAATATCTACTAATTTATCAATTATTTAAAACTTAATAAATAAATAAAGGTTAACAGTCGCATTATCTCCGTATATTCATCATAACATTAATATATTTTCTCCACGACAATTAAATTAAGAGTAGGTTAAGAAACTGTACAAATTATTTTCTCTCCTAATTGACTGTACTATTTATATATATATACACACTTTTTCCTTATTTGTTAATTTAATAAATCACAAACAGAATGTTTAGGAGAAAAACGCAATTTGAACACATATATTTATTTATGTATATATATATTACGTAAGTTTTGCAGATATAAGTTAAACCTGATTTTTATATGACATCATATATTTTTTCTCTATTATTCTCTTATATCTGAAGATATTTCTCAGTATCCGAATACCTGATTTTTCTATATAAAAGTATTTCATTTCCATAGATGGATTTTGTCTTTTTGAATTTTGATTTTTCTGGTTTTCTTGATAAATGAGAACGAGTATGTTATCGTTATGTAGGTCTTTGTTTATGTTTTTAATAATGCACTTAAGTTTTATATTCGAAAAGTTTTTATTTATCTTTTTGGTTAATATTATATTTTTAGAATAGCGGATTCTATATTCAGACACATTAATCTTCTAAAGACGCAAATTTAAATTAAAATCTATTTAAAAAATTGCTTCACTGATATTGAGTAATTTTCGAAAAAATATTTTTTGTCAAATTTAATTCAGAAACTTATATTTGAATTGTATTAATGTTTGATTTGTAAAAAATATACCTGCCTTACTCGTATGACTAACTTTTGGAACTCAAATATGGAGTACAAGGATTTTCGAAAAAATTTTAACATAATTTCATACTGAGTATAATATTTCAAAATTTGGAACATTATGATCGAGTATTATATAAAAAACGTGTACCTTTTGAGTCAAATGGAATTAAAATACAACGATTTGTTTCTTGTAAATCACATCTATATACAGCACCAGGTCGTTCAACTCCTGTCAAATTAAAAGAATGATGAGTTTTCGGTGCACCAACTATAACCCTAAAATTAAAAAAAAAAATATTGCAATTAACTATTTCATTAATAATATTTAATTTTAAATTTTTCATAAATTATGGTTGAATTCTCTTCAACATCGTATTTTAAAAATGTGAGAAAGATTTTAATGTGGGCAGATAAGTATCTTATTAATATTATGTATACGTATATATAAAGGTAGCAAGTAAAAACATGAAACTGATTTTTTTACTATACAGAGAGTAAAATAAACAAAGCTTTTTGTATTTTCGAACACTTATAAACTTAGGAATTTCTTAATATTTATTCCAAAACCAAATATATAACGGGTTAGTCATTTACTGATCGAAAACTAGAGTTGAATTAACTTCACAAAAAAATTAAAAAAAAATTACATCATGAATCTCAAAGATAAAGCAGTTTTTAAGGAAATAAAATAAAATTCATTCAAATATTAAAAGTTCATGTGCAAATTTTTACAAAATAATGTTCCCTTGAATGAAAACAGTAAAAGTTTTACAATTTTTTGTATTCCTTTTCACGAATTACTCGGTTAGTTTATAAATGTACATAGGCTTACTATACTTTTCTTTCAGAAATGATGCAGGCGGAGTATTATTTGTGAATCTTTGTCATTAAATTTATAAGTTAAATGAAGAAAGAAAAAAATGCAGAATTAAAAAGAATTGAAGAGGCCCCTCGAATATTGCACTTTAGCGAAATTGATCCCGAAAGATCTTTGTTTTCAAACCCTAAATTGAGCTAGCCATTGAAAACTGGTTAAGAATCTTATCACAGGAGCTAAGTTCGTAACATATTGGAAAAACTTTTCTTTATCAGCAATTTACAATCTTAGTTTGAAAATGGGTTTATTTCTCGCATTTTTAGTCAATCTGAAATTTTATAAATGCAACTTAAATCAACATGCGAAAAATTTCGTCTGCAAAGTATAATGTAAAACTGGAAAGTTTCTTCATAGTTCGGAATTTGTATTATTACCACAAAAATTGCATTAAACCCATTTAATCAAAATGAAAAATTTTGAAATCATTTAAATTCAAACAAACGCATTGCTTGCAACAAGCAAGGAATATTTGTTTCTTTACATGCGATTTACCGCAAATCTTGCTCATATTCCAATAAAACCAAAATACAGCAAAAACATATGTAGATACGAATTTCAATAATGAAACAATACGCGAATATATAAGTATATAAAATATAACTAAAATAAATAAAGTACCTTGTCTGCATAACTATAGTTGTACTATTAGCGACACAACCAAGATGGTACAACTTTTCTGAGACCGGAAAATTTACAGTAATTTAGAAAAATTTATTTTGTAATTTTTGTTTTTATTATACAGGTACTCTCGATTGCACTATTAACATTTACAAATGTTAATAATGTTAATAATGTAAGTCATTTACAAAGTGAAAACTTTTGGTCTTCACTTCAATACGAACCAATCAAATATTTCAGGAATATTGTGCGTAGGAGAGTTTTTCGTAAGTATAAGTAATGTGTGTAAATCTTGAACTGACTATAAGAACAGAGTTTTTATGCAAAATATTTTTGATGTGACCAATAGCGAAAATATGAACTTTCTGATGTGGATCAATTACAGATTCTAGTATATTCTGATGTCTCTAAAAGAGAATGTCAGTTGGAATATAACACATACTTACATATTATATATGTATGTATATATTAAATATATTTTTTTAAATTTATGAAATGTAATTCTATAAATTAGTTTTATATAAATAAATGACCTTCTTTGGAAGGAATTCACTCTTTCAACTGAGTTTAATTGTTAAAGTTAATCATGACATCATTATTATTACATAAGGTATGAACTTAAAGCAGCGGAAAGAAGCAGATAACAATAAAATTTTTGGAAATTTCAAATCATTATTTATAATTGACATTGATTATTATTTGTTAACGATTGAATCATTATTGATATTGCTTGCAAGTTAAATTTTCAGTTGTCAGATTTAATAACGATAAAAATCACTATAGAAATATTCTGTTTTTATCGCTATTTAGTTATATATCCTTGAGCAGTAAATATGAAGGCTGTTTACTTTCAAGAAGTAAGCCTACTTTCGTTCATAGAAAGTGGGTTGGGCTAGAAAATAATCTACCTTCCAATGATTTTGGTTTTTCAATTCTAAATAATGGATGAAGAATTTCGTTTAAAATATAAGTACTATGAAATTACTCAAAACGTTCAATAAAAATTTAATAAGCAAATTTAAATAAACCTATTAACAATCAGATAATTTGTGATAAAGTGAAACACCACTAATATAAAAATAATTTCAAATTATAATTAGAAAAACTGTACGTACAATGTTAAAAATATTTGTGTAACAAACTTGTGTCAGCTTGTGTAAACGATTCAGCTAACGCTTGCTTAACGCTTAATCATGCAATTTCTTTAAATTTAAATAGCTCGTAACAAATGGAAACATGATGTCAGATTTTATGAATTCTTTTTTTTAGATAAACTAACGTAAACATGTGAGTCATATACGAGTACCTTGCTTACATAACATATAAAATTGTATAGTATGTCTGATTGACTGACTGATTGATTGAGTCAAAACATATGCATTTAGATTAGATAAAACATCAAATAAAATTCACTAAGGACGGATCCCTTTCTTAGCAAATTTTGGTATTGGAGGTTTTGGAATCCAAAGTTAAATGAATATATAAAAGGTTCAAATAGTAGTAAGGTTCAAATTCAGTTATCTAAATCGATAGTTAATTATCTAAATCGACATTTGGAAGAATGAAGTGATTTTTAGGTCTTGAGTTAGGTTGAACTTTAAAAAAAGGTGCTCTCAGAGAGTTAATGAATTGATCTAACAGTTAAAACGTTTGATTGTAGAGAAATAAAAGAAGCACTAATAAACAGCATGCAGTATTCTCCTATTGTTTAATCTACTTTCTATCGGTGTAAAGCTGCAACTTGTCAGTGGACTTTGCCTATTGTCCCTCCGCATAAATATACAGGATATCTGAAAAGTTCCCACACTTTTTTTTAAATATTATTAGAACTGCTACATGGATTAAGAAATCAACATTGTTAACTGGTCAGAGACGTTTATTAGAGTAGTAATGACAATATTCAATAACAATTTACGGCGGGTGCTCAAAATTAGCTCCATTTGCAGTAATACATGCACGGAGGCGCTTTGAAAAATTGTTTGCAATGGTCACGCACTGTTCGATGGTAATTCGATGGTATCATATAGTTTGATCATATAGTGACAGGACGGGCGCTACAAACACGCTTCGACATGCTCCCCTCCTGGTAACGTTTTATGGCATCATAGACAGTCATTTTTTTGTAATCAGTCGGTCTTACAATCTAAGTTGTCTTCATACCTTGACCTGTGTAATTCTATAATAGTAATGCGCTTGTTATCACGATATTGTAGTTGTACACCATGCTCCTTAAGTGTTATGATTCGGTAAGGACATCCAAGGGCAAAAAAAAAAATTTCAACTCAAAGAAGGTCGAGTATTCTAGATTAGAGATATCCAAATAATTGTGTTGTTTGTATACATTGTTTGAAATAAAAACATTACAGCCGAAAGCAGTTTTTTTTTATGATTAATGAAAATTTCTGTTAGTAATATGACTAATTCATAGTTAAAAATCGCCCACAATCCTTTGAATTTTTTTTCAATCTTGCTATATATAAAATTACAGCTGCTATTAAATTAGTTTTAACATAATTTTTTGGTTAACGTTATTTATATGAAGTATTAACTTACCAATTTTTATTAAAATATCTATGAAGCACAACACTAAATCCAAACATAGAACCTGAATTTCCATAATGCTGATTATAACTTTCAAGATCTAAATTATATTGAAAAGTTGGACCCAAAAAATTGCACAGTAGAATTAAAACATAATAAATATTATTGTACCACATTTTAACACACAAAATAACAAAGAAAATTTCGTATTTTCTTTTTAGCTAAATTAATAAATAATTTTTTTTTTTTTTGTTTAAAATTGTTATATCAATTTAACTTAATTTAACTATAATTAAATTAGAACACAATTGACTTCATTTCCACATTTGGATAATTTTAATATCAAACTAATATTATAGGTATAACGATTAATTCGTTGCTAAATACGTTTGGCACAATGCTATATTGACCATTTAATTATAAATATTATAGGCTGTAAAAAGTAAAAAACAAACAAAAAATTTATTTTAAATTTTAATTATAATTTTAAAATTTGTATTAATTTTTCTATTTTTTTTGTTTAAATTTATTTATTTTTCATTTTTTTTATGATAGATTTTTAAGAAAAAAAATATTCTTTTACACTCAATTGCATTTAAACAGCATACTTAGATAAAATTAAATACTTATATTGTTAATGACCTAAAATTTTTTACACTTTATTTTGATAAAATTGTGAAAATTTCTACTTAGAATAATAATCTTGACATTGAAACTCGTATAATTATTTGTTTGTATAGGTTTATTTAACATTATAATAATTGTTATTTTTATTAATGATTTTTAAATACATTACTTCATATCCAGTATGTATGTATGTATACATATATACACGAAAAAAAAATATTAGAAAAAAAAATTCACAATTAATTTCTTTTTTAATTTAATTGTATATAAAATCTTTCTTATCACACAATTTCATTGAAGAGTTTCAAATAATTTTAGAAAAGAAATATTTGATACAAAAATTTAATCTCATCAAATTTATAAATTAAAAACTGTTCCATCTTTAACCTATGCAGATATATATATATGTGTATGGACTCCAATACATATATTGAATATAATTCTACTACATAAACAATTTTGAAGAAAATACCTATATTAACTTTAAAATTTTACTACAGAACATTAAACTTCTTATTAGGAAAATAAAGAAAAAACAAAATAAATAAAACCGTTTTATTAAGCATTTTTGGTAAATAACACTATAAATATAATTTGCGACACATGTGCCTATACATACGTATGTACATACACATTCAGACATATATATTTATGTTAAAATTATATACGTTCATATATAATGTATGTATACAAAAGAATATGCGGTATGTAAAAAAAAAAATACTTAATATCATGTGGGATAAAGTAATGTTTATGTGACTGCATTAACAATTCATTTATAAAATGCCTACATACATTAATGCACATTGTTTTCTTGTCAACAATAAAAGAAAGAAAGAAAAACCAAACAAATCAACTTCAACAGCATTATCATGTTTTCTTATTTTTAATTAATAAACATAATAATGAAATCTGTTTTAATTCACAATGATAATCATTTTAATAATTTATTTAAAGTTTTATAATGTTTTATGTAAAAAAGAAAAATACAAAAAATTAAATTAAATATTTTTTTTTGTATTTTATAAAACAAAAATTTTTTGGTATTGTATGTGCACTATAATTATATTTCAATGTATTTAATAAAATCACACATCCATACAAACAAAATCCTCGAGCATAATAATTGTATATATATATATATATATATTTTACAATTCAAACAAAAACAATAATTAATATGATTCCCCTACATGTGTGTTTTAACTTGAAAATAGCATCGTTCATTGAATAATAATTATATTTTAATATGTACACAATCTTCAACTACCGAGTTTGTTAGCCAAGAAGAGAACATTTTTCACTACATACGTATATATATATATATGTATATGTATGGATGTATATAATTTAAAGGTACTTAAATATATTAAGTAAGTACACAATTTTATATTAAAGATACTCAAAAGAATATCTTATAATATTATATACAAACATTCTTATATAAATTAAAAGTAACGTTATAGTGAAACAGTATATAATAAAAGTAGATCCCACAGATGAACATACAAACATACATATTATATAAACATATTTGTATGTACCATTATGTGTGTACGTATAACGTAAAGAGAGAGAAAAAAAAATGTTTTAAATAAACAATATAATAAAATATACCTACATAAAAAAAAATATAAGATAGAAAATGATCTTTAAGATTTTGTTAGAGTAGGCGTGACCTTATTCATCTATGAGATCACTGTAACGATATGTGCGCATAAATATATATATATATATATATATATATATTTATATATAATTTCGATGTACATATGTATGTAGATTATTTTATGGTTATTATTTAACAAAATATAAATACATATATGTACGTACATATGTACATATTGTCATAATTAAAATTAATTTTCTAATGGCATAAATAATGTTTTTTAATTAGAAATTTGCAATTTTTTTTTTATTTTTTTCAATAATATATATTTTAATTTTATTTAAAATTTCAAAAATTTAAAATAAATATGTTTTTAGGCAAATAAAAAAACCATATGGTTCACACATTTTTTTTTTCTTTAACATCGCACGTTTAATGCATTTTTTTTTTCTTTTTTAACTTGAAATTTTCCCTAAGTCTTAATACATATACATACATATATAACTAAATACATACTTATTTACAATTCACTTTCCTACATAATTCTCTTCTATTCTTGTATTTTAAACCTATCTTAGCGCCTTAAGTGCACTTTTCCATTTATTATATTCATATATATACACGATGATTAACATATGAGTATTTTTGGAAAAATATATGTATATATGGATGTACATGGATTTACCTATATAATATAATTTTAAATTTTATATAAATAGATTTTTAGTTTTTTTCTTTTACATTTTTATTACTCCTTATTTTTCTTTATTATTCTTTTATAATTTATCTTTTTTTGCCTTATTCTTGCAATACTTCTATTAGAATATTAAAAATTTAGAATATTTATAATGATCAAATAGGTTATTTTATTTTATTTGCACCATATATAGATATAATATAAATATTTTCTTAAAAATCTAATTTTTAAATATACCATAAAAAAAACATAATAAACTTAAACTATAATTTATTTTCTTCGAAAAAAAAATTTATGCAATTTGGTAACTTTTAAATTCTATTAATAAAAAAATATTTTTTTTTATTTTTATATTTCTTTCTTATTATCACACATCAAACGTATTCCACGAGCTGTTATTCGAGACTGTTGAATAAAGTATCTCACAAATTAATTTATGGTATAATATCTTCAATTTATTCTCTCATAACGTTCAAATTTTACAAATACTTCTAATTCAGTGGCGTATCGAGTTAATAAGAACAAAAACTGAATTGTTATTAAATTTTAATTTAATAATTATAAAAATTAAATAATTAATGTAAGTTTCGGTTATATAGTTAGTTTGTTAAATATTGAATTTATTTTCAATAAATAAGACAATTAAAATTGCATATGTGTAAAAGATGGTAATATAAAAGTTTATTGTGGTGAATTTCAATTAATGTAATTTATTTATTCCGTCTGTAATTACTCTATTACTCGATTCGCAAATACAATGTTTGTTCGAGTACTAAATACTTTAAAAGTTTTATAGTTATTCGAGTTCTAAAAGTTAACTGAGTTCGAAAAATTTTGTATTAATTTTGTATTAATTGTATGATATTTATTATATTGTGTGAAATTTCATGTATAGCCAAATTATTTGTTCTAAAATTATTCATATAACAAAATTACATTCCATGTTTTTAAAAATATGACTGTACGGTAATACAATTCATAATAACTGTTGCCTTTTTAAAAATTTAGATTGCATTAGCAGTTCCCTGTTTGAATTGAATTATCTAAGACCTAAGAAATTATCCAACCAAATTTTGAAAGTGGCGGTACTGTTTTGTATGCTAACAAAGCTGTTGTGTGCTAACAAAGCGACTGAATTTCTAATAATTTGTATTTAACTAATATACAGCAAGAGAAATACTGCATTTAACTAATATGCAGCCAGAGAAATAATGTATTAGTTTACACTTATTTGTATTATATTTGATAAAGTTGAAACTACATGTAAAGATAGAGCATATTTGGCCGGATATATCATCATTAAAAAATTTAATACATTTCAGATCCTAAGAAATTCTGTTACAGAAAAGTGAAATATGTAAGTATATGTATTTTTATATAAAAATTTTATACAGTTAACAGTTGGATTAAAACCAAATTATAAACAAAAGTTACGTACACAAATTCAAAATCAAATTATTGGCAAATATTAGAATTGTTTTACCAATTATAACATCTTTCGTATCTCAATAAATTAAAAAAATATTATGTATAGAAAATATCCTGTGCAACAGGATATTTTCTATCTCGTCTAAATATGTTCTGTCGAAGAATAAATATTACGAGATAAAAATTCAATGTTTTTTTCACTTGAAGTAAATTATTTAAAAATAAAAATATATTAATTTTTTAAGTTACATTCAAAAAGAAAAAAACCCTTATTTTTAATAAAAAAAATTTGGTCCGTTCTGTAGTAAATTTATTCTTTTATAATCCTTGGGTTCCAGATTGTAGGGAAAAAATTAGCAAACAGCCTTTTTATTATTTCACTTAAATGCTGCAACGCAAAAAAATTATAAAGTAATGTATTTACACCAAGGGACATAATTTTAAATTTCAGTTGTCAAGATCGTATGAGTATGCTTTGATTTTCGCATATAATTTTAATATTTGACAACTTATCTTAAAAAATACCAACCTTATTATGTGGCAAAATATAAAATTTGTAAATACACTATCAACTTGTAGCACTGCATTTTAAATGCAAAAGAATATTTTAAATGACGCATTGTATTTCAATAAAAAATCACATAAAATTTACATTAATTTGATTAAATTCAAATTGTGTTTACACATTAAATACATTCAACCCTTGTTTTCAAATTTTCTATGTTAATAATGAGCTTATGTCATCTTTATTATAAAGAAATGATTACGACGTTAAGATTATTTTATTAACTACATACATATATGTTTGCATTCAATTTTTTGATTTTCTTTTCCGAAATTCAATTTCATTCATTCACAAGTGTTTGATTTGCAAAAATATTGTACGACAACGCAAGATTTGTGTTTTATTCCGATGATGACATGAATTTTGTCTTTCGACATCCCTATTATGATTTCGTTGTTTAATATGTATGTAGTATTGTAGTATGTACATAATTACAAAACGTCAAATTATTAATTTCTATTTTCAATTGACCAAATGTACTGAATTTTAATACGAATGTGCAATGTAGGTATATTAAATTTATAAAAATTCTTGCAACATAAGAAAAGTTCCAGTTTATTACAATTAGGCGAAGCTTAAGCGTTTCCTTGAAACTTAGAAAAAAAACCTAGTTATAAAAAAAAAGTATTACCTACTTGAGATTAATTTAAAAAAAAGCAAATCGGATGCTAAGTATCCTGTAGTAAATTCTAAAAAAATATAGAAGGTAAGAATTATTATTGTATAGAAAAACCATTTAATTATTACTTATTAATATTAAAAAAATTATTAAAATTAAATTAAAAAAACATATATGTTTTTTTAGAACAAAATTTGTATACGTTAAAAAAAAGGATGACAATTATATTGTTTCTAGTAGATACTTCGGCATCTATGTGCCAAAAAGCCTACATTAATGGAGTTCAAAAAAATTATTTAGATATTGCTAAAAGTGCAGTGGAGATATTTTTAAAATACCGACAGAGGACTCAAGACTGCCTAGGTGATAGATATATGCTTTTGACATTTGAAGATCCCCCAGCAAATGTAAAAGCTGGATGGAAAGAAAATCATGCAACTTTTATGAATGAGTTAAAAAATTTGCAATGCAATGGATTAACATCAATGGGTGAGGCTTTAAAGAATGCCTTGGACTTACTTAACCTTAATAGAATGCAGTCAGGGATTGACACATACGGTCAAGGTCGTTGCCCATTTTATTTAGAATCATCTGTAATTATAGCTATAACTGACGGCGGCAAATATTCATATCGAAGTGGAGTTCATCAAGAAATGATCCTTCCACTAAACTCACAAGTCCCTGGGACAAAATTTACCAAAGAGCCTTTCAGATGGGATCAACGATTTTTTGCACTAGTTTTGAGGATGGGTGGCAGTAAAGGTGACGACAGAATGGAAGGAAAAGTTCCGCATGATGACTCACACATTGAAAGGATGTGCGAAGTAACTGGGGGGCGGTCTTATCGAATAAAATCGCACCATATTTTAAATCAATGCATTGAAAGCCTAGTTCAAAAAATTCAACCTGGTGTTGTTTTACATTTTGAACCATATATTCCAAAAGAGTTAAAAGACGGTGAAATGCAGGATATATCATTTCAGGCTATGAAGAAAATGATATTTGTAATGAAAAATCCAACTCAAAAAGCATATCCTGTAGGCTACTGGCCTTTACCGGAATCTTTTTGGCCTGATTCAAAATCTACAACTTTGCCACCACGTGACGCTCATCCAAAAATACGAGTGATGTCTCCCTCTATTGATGAACCACAGATTTTGCGAAATTTTCCAGTTGACAAATATGAAATGGAACCTTCTGCTCTCACTTTACAAATATTATCTAAAAGAGAACCTAATAAATGTTGGCCTGTCTGTATTTCGAACGGATTGCATGTACTGGAAGTTCCTTTTGGTTTCTTAAAAGCAAATCAAAGCTTTACACAAGTTTATTTATTTGTTCTAGCGTATAACTATCCGCTACTGCTACCATTACTATACGATCTGTTTCACAAATTTCTTTTAAATCCACCGAACGAGTGGATGTATAAATTCAATGCCTACGTAAGATCACTTCCGCAGTATTATTGTCCTTTTCTACGTCGAGCTCTTGGGACTTTAAATGTTCCTCCACCACTGTTGCAATTTATGCTACCCGAAAATATGGATAACTTTTTAAGCCCTAATGTAGCAAATTATTTAAAACAAATGAAAAATACTGCAAAACAAGATCAAGAAAATTTATGTTTACGGGTGTATAAAATTTTAAAACAAATTAAACCACCTTATAGACAAATAGAAACAACTAAACTTAATGTGAACAATAATCTACGACGAGATCCTATAAGAAATCCAATGCTGAAAGAAACATTTAACAAAGTACATCATGAAATTGTAACTTTTGATAATTATACCATTGTAGTCCCTTCTTTAATTCCTCAAATATCAGTTAAAAACTACCGCAATCCATTTGATATAGTTCGAAGAGATTTAATTGATGAGGTTTCCAGAATGAGTAGTAATTTTATCAAAGCCTTCAGTTCCGGGTTCAATTTAACAACCAAAGACTCTGGACATTGCTTGCCTATTTCTGAAATGGGAAACTACCAAGAATATCTTAAAAATAAGGAAAGCCCATTAAGAGAAATCGAACCAACTAATGTTCGGCAGCACATGTTTGGAAATCCTTACAAAAAAGATAAACATATGGTTATGGTAGACGAGGCTGATTTGGGTGAAGTTGCGCCGGTGAAAACAAATACATCAAATATTTTGATGAAAAAGAATGAATCGAATGCACGTATGAACAGAAAAAGGAAAGCTGGTCCCATAAGAAAGGACTTCATATTTAGACGTTTATCTGATGACAGCAGTTCTGTAAAAACGAGTCCATCTAGATCCGATGTCGAAGACGACATTTCTGTTGCATCAGACGATTGGAAACCAGATCTTTTCGAATTTCAAGAACCGGAAGATCTTCCCTTTAATGGCAATAGTTCAAATTATCTAAACTGCGAGCTTGAGAAGGAAGCAGATGCTACCGAATTAAAATTAGGAAGCTATCAAGTGGTGCCTATTACATTCAATAACAATTTCGCAAATATCCAAAATAACATTGCAGAATCGTCCGTTTTTAGCAATCCTTGTTTTGATAACCAAGTTTCAGAACCATTTATAGTACAAAACATTAATTCCCATAATGAACTTAATTCAATTTCGACAAATGCAAATTTAAATAACCGAAATGATTTAAATGATCCCGAAGAAATTTCTAAAATATTGCAACAGTGTCGAATAGAATCTGTAGATACTAAACTTGCTAAAAAGATAGATATGCTACAAACAGACGAAAATTCTGAAGCAGATGTTATTTCACCCGAGCAATATGAAATTATTAAAAAGCAAAATTTGAAAACAAGATCTATTGTATTCAAAGATATTCGAAAATTGGGTCATAATTATTCTGATCTTTTAGATCATTTAAGCTTAGTTCAAGGAAATCTTGAAACAAAATCAGAGTTTATTCAAATGTGTGTTTATGAATCCCTTCGTTTCCGTAGAAAAAAAATGGCGAAATGCATTCGTGAGTGGTGGAATTGTTATACAAAAGCAACCAGCGATACTGAAGGATTCTGACTACAAACTTTATTTTGTTCACTTGACTAAAACTTATGGGAACCACTTTATCAGCAAATAAACAAATTTTTTTTTGGAAATATTTTCTTAATCATTCGAATTTTTATTAGAAAAAATATAAAATAATTTACATATAACGTATGTATGTATATATAAATCTCTCGATTACTCCTAGCGTTAAATCCATATTTTTTGAAAATGTACATATACATATTTTTTGAAAATGTACATATACATATTTTTGTACATATATGTACATACCTAAACATATTTTTTTAAATTTGTTTTATTTTGGTTGTCAAAGTAAGTTCAACAAACAATAATTGATATAAACAAATCAGCACTGCGAGTCGTTCTACCCTTCTTTTTTATTTTATTTTATAATCTATAATAAATATTTAAGTTTCATTAGGATTTCAGACAAAGCTTTGTTTATTTTTAAATTTGGTAGGTAGAGCATAAGCTTAAACTAGCAGAATAACAAAGAAATTATGGCTGATTCTTTTACATACATACTCATATATTCTTATTTGAATAATTTTATAACGATTTACCGAACATTATTGATCTCTTTCTAGGTTGGCTTCGTGTTATCAAGTCGTCTTTTAAAGTTAAATCACTATCTTTGTGGCATATGCACATCCATGTCTTCTAACCAAATGATCACTAAGTTCTCGACACTATTATGTAGATTTGTAAAACTTCTTGAACACATTAAATTTATATCCTGCTTTTATTTAGTTTGTTTTCATAAACAATTCATTAGGTAATGCATTATCTGCTATAAGTTAGAAACGTAAAATTTTAAGGATTATTTTTAAAAATGAAAATTTATTCGCCTAACACTTCTTATTCAAAGTAAACATGCTAATTTTGCATCATTAGTTTTTTTATGCAACAAGTTATGGTTGTTCCAGTTTTCGCCTGCAATAAAATTTGGTAACTTTCTAATATGCATGTATTTTGTTTTGAACCTTGATGTTTTGCTACAAAATAGTTATTTTCTACAATCAATCTATATTTAAGTTTTCTTTTTAAGCAAGGCTGTTCCCATTGATTTTCCTAGATCTTTTGTTTTTTGTTTTCATCCTTTAAAATATTTTGTTTTCATAAATGAAAATTGATTTTTTTAGAAAAAATATTGATTTTTTTAGTCTTTTAACGAGTTCGAATTGACCAAAAACGTATAAATTGCGTTAAAAAATTTCTTCAGTACAAATCCGAGCTCAGATTCATCACCCTATTTTAAATCTTCATTTTTTCATTTTAATTTAGTTCTTTAGTTTTTTTGTTTGACCAAAATAGAAATTCGTTTCCCAACCATTCTAAGTGCAATTGCAATATTTTTTCTCATACTTTATGTTAAATTTTTTGTTAGCTTCTGCTTTACGATTCTGTGTACATCCCATAATAACTCCATTTTCGACCTCATTATTTAATTTAAGAGGAGCATTATTTAAATTTTCAATGAATTATGCGCTTTTTCAAAAAAATTTCTACGTTCCATTGTTATATTTTTGACTTTTATAAGCTTTCCGACAATTACATGTTGTTATTTGATAATCCACCTTGACATTGACATTGCAAAAATTGAAGGTACCAAAATTAGTAAATGACAGCCTTCTATAAAATTTTTTGCTACCAATTTTTAACTTCATTATTTTTCAAAATTTATGCAAAAGTCCCAATAAGTGGCAAGATAGTTTTATTACCATTAATTTATGCAAGTAATTTGGCATATTGTAAAAAAAAAAAAAATTCGAATCAACAAACAATTTTTATTTTTTTAAGAAGAAAAAAATTAACAAAAGCCAATTCTTTTGACAGTACTCAAAATATATTATATACAATAGAATTTGTTTAAAATATTACAAATGCCACTTCATTTGTATGTGAATAAAATTTTTCTGAGAATGTATCATCAAATGTAATTGTAAAAAGAACGCCAAAGCAGGGAACGGGAATGGCGGATGATTTGCTTTATTAACCTAAAACAACAGCGGAAAATGAATTTAGTTTATTTTACTGCCTACGGTTAAACTTGCGACGATAATTTCGCTTAATTTTAAGCGTTCGCCTCCAAATTTGCGTTTTCTATATGGATTCTGACATTTTGCGCGGAAAATCGCTTGTTATGTTTTTAACTTAACATATCTTTTATTGGTTTCGCAAACAGTTTTTTTTTTGTTTTGTTAAAACATTCTCAATTTCAATTCATAATTTTTCATTTTAGATAGCTTTGTTTGTTAAGCATTATGCATTACTGTAAACAAATTTGCGATTCCTGAGCTTAAACGCAATATGTACTTAACTTAGTGTATACAACTGTACCAACTCTTAATTTCTGAACGTACTAAATTTTGACAACTCAATCTTGGTTGAGGAATGTCAAAATCTTAAGGATATTCCCGCCAAAAATATTCTAATTCATTTTGTTATACTGCTGTAAAAGTGAATGTTGATTAATTGCTAGGGTCGAAATAAAAATTTTAATATAAATAAAATTATTTTAGTTACAATATTCACTGTAAACACTTTTATATTTGGTAAAACTAATATAAAAGTAAGATAAGGTAAAGTAGTTACAAATTAGATCTGAAATGGCAGAAGACGAGCAACATTTAAGAGAAATTCAACGTGAATATTTAGATTTCTTAGATGATGAGGTATAGCATTTGAAACTATAAATTTAGAAGAATTATTTTAAGCCGCTTTTTTAGGAAGATCAAGGAATTTACAGCAGTCATGTTAAAGAAATGATTGCTCAAAATAGCAAACGCTTAATTGTGAATGTGAATGATATAAAACGGAAGAATCCAGCAAGGTCAGCGGCCTTGTTAGTTGCTGCATTTGAAGAGCAGCTAGCTTTCGGAAGAGCTCTAAAGGAATATGTTTCATCAATACAACCTTCATATTCAAAACAGCATGATGATTTTTTTATTGGATTTGAGGGTTGTTTTGGAAATAGGCATGTTACACCAAGATCCCTTACATCAAGGTATGTTATAGTACATCCATATTGTACATACTTATGTATTTATCGTGAGGAATATGTAAGTAATATTTTAATTTTTTTGGTAGATTCTTGGGTAATCTCGTGTGTGTTGAAGGAATTGTTACAAAAGTTTCTTTGATTCGTCCAAAAGTTGTTCGAAGCGTACACTATTGTCCTGCAACTAAGAAAACTATGGAACGTAAATATACTGATTTAACATCGTTTGAAGCGGTACCAAGTAGTGCTGTATATCCAACAAAGGATGACGAAGGCAATTTATTGGAAACGGAGTTCGGACTCTGTACGTACAAAGATCATCAAACTATAACAATTCAAGAAATGCCAGAAAAAGCTCCAGCTGGTCAATTACCTCGATCTGTTGATATTGTTTGCGATGATGATTTAGTAGACAAATGTAAGCCGGGTGATCGTATTCAAGTAGTTGGAAATTACAGATGTTTGCCTTCGAAACAATCTGGTTACACTTCTGGTACATTCAGAACAGTATTGATTGCTAATAACATATCACAGTTGAATAAAGACAGCAATTTGAAAATAACTAGAGAAGATGTGAATTTTTGTAAAAAACTTGCCAAGAATAATGATATTTTTGAGCTACTATCGAAAAGTCTGGCCCCTTCTATTTATGGACATGAATATGTGAAAAAAGCAATTCTCTGTTTGCTTTTGGGTGGAGTTGAAAAAGTTTTGCCAAATGGAACGCGTTTAAGAGGCGACATAAATGTTTTACTAATTGGTGATCCAAGTGTTGCAAAATCACAAATACTTCGATATGTTTTAAACACTGCTCCAAGGGCTATTCCTACAACAGGACGTGGATCAAGTGGAGTAGGTTTAACAGCGGCTGTAACAACGGACCAAGAAACTGGCGAACGTCGTTTGGAGGCTGGTGCGATGGTTTTAGCGGATCGAGGTGTTGTGTGTATTGATGAATTTGATAAAATGAGCGACATTGATAGAACTGCAATACATGAAGTAATGGAACAAGGTAGAGTTACCATTTCGAAAGCTGGAATTCACGCTTCTTTAAATGCAAGGTGTTCAGTTTTAGCTGCGGCAAATCCGGTTTATGGAAGAGTAAAATCAAACTCAATTTTTTATTTTAAAATCATCTAAATATTTTCTTACTTTTAGTATGATCAATATAAAACACCAATGGAGAACATAGGACTTCAAGATTCTTTATTATCGCGTTTTGATTTACTATTTGTAATGCTTGATAATATTGATAATGATATTGACCAAATGATTTCTGATCATGTTGTAAGAATGCATCGTTATCGGTAAGATTTAAAATGATTACAAGTAAAAAATCTACATGTTTATCTTTATTAGGGATCCTAATGAGGCAGATGGCGCTGTTTTATCGATGGGTAACAGTTATGCCGATAGCTTGGCTTTTGGAACAAATGAAAACCATAAAGAAGCGTTAGTTTACGAAAAGTATGATCCACTTCTTCATGGAAAATCTCGTTCCAAGCAAGACAGAATACTTTCGGTAGAATTCATGCGAAAATATATTCACATAGCTAAATGTTTGAAACCGAAACTATCAGAACAAGCTTCCGAAGTTATTTCAAATGAATATTCTCGCTTGCGATCACAGGATCAAATGGATTCCGATATAGCAAGAACACAACCAGTAACTGCACGTTGTTTAGAAACCTTAATTCGTCTGGCAACCGCACATGCTAGAGCGCGGTTAGCAAAAACCGTTACTGCAGATGATGCTCAAGCAGCAATCGAATTAGTACAATTTGCTTATTTCAAAAGGGTCTTGGAAAAAGAGCGAAAAAAACGTCGCAGGGATGATGCTTCTGATGAAGATGATATTGATGCGGAAGAAAATGGTACTACTGAAGAGAATAGTGAATCAACTGCTGAAGCAGCAACACCAGGAAAACGTGCACGCAAAAGGACACGAACCCAACCAGAGTCCGATGATGAAGAAATAATACAACCACCACCTGATGAAGGCGATTTGACTAGAAGAGAAACAAGAAAATCTATTGGTACAACGTCATCAGCACATTCTACAGAAGAAATAACTCCAAGTGAACCAATTGTAATAAGTGAAGATCGCTTAAAATTATTTAAAAATATTGTTGCAAAACTATTCAGAGAATCGAGAGTTGATAGTTTACCATTAGAAAAAATTACAAAACATATAAACGAAAATGTTGAAACTGCTTTTAGTAAAAGTGAAATCGAAGCTGCTATCAATAAAATGACAGACGACAATCAAATTATGGTAGCTGATAATATTGTTTTTCTCATATAATCGTTATTTTGCTATATGAAATTAATTATTAGAAAGTACAACACATTTTCACAGTTTTTAAAGGATTGTTTAGAATTTAAGATTTATATATTTGGAATACAAATTATTTAATTTTTACAAAATAAGTTTACTTTTAGTTATAAGATATTATTAAATTTCATATAAAAAATATAAGCATACATTTTTGTCTAGTTAAGAAAAATTTTATTTGCTATTGTCACATTTTGCGAGGCAGTTTACTGAATAAGTCTGTTCTATCAATATCATCACGTTTCCTTGATTCCATAATGATTGATTTTCAGCACTGTCATGGTACTTCTTGCTTTACTATAAAATTTTTGAAAGTGTGACTTACTAATGGAAACAAAATTGTTGACAAAAATTGAAAAATACGTACGTGCATGATAATAATAATTTTGAAAAATTAGTTGAGTAGTACATGAAAATACCTTATTGTTAATATGTATTTTTATACTTTAAAAATTGTATAAAAATAGTATACATTTAAATTCTTTTGATCATCACGTCACCTACGTGTAATAAGTTGCTAGATAAAAACGAACAGTTCGATTGTAAGTGATTAAAATATAAAAGTAATAATAAGTATTTGTGGAGCATATAGTTTAACGTATGTACATATTATGTAATGTAGTAATGTAGTAATGTTTCTTTGTAGAAGCAAGAAGTACAGTTGTATTTATGTACCAAATGTGTAATAAGTATTTGTGTACCAAATTACCAAATTTTTTTAACTTTTCGTTTTCTTGAAAAATAAAAGTATACAATATTTTAAACTACAACGTCTTTATTTTGATAATTAAATACATTTTCTAAATGAAATTGCAAAAACAAATTTTTTAATTTTAATTATTTGTGAAAAAATCATGTCTCATTGTTTTTTTTTAAACTTAATTACATGGTAAAAATAAAAAATTTAAAACAAAATTGCATCAATCTTTCAGTACAAATTAATTTTAATCGGTGGTTTTCTGATATAAAAATTGTTACATCATTTCACCTTCAACATGATTTTGTTCTTGTTCTTGTTCCTGTTCTTGCTGTTGTATTTCTTCTTCTTCATCAAATTCAGCATCATCTTCCGCTGAGGCTTCCTATTGATTTATTTGAAAGAAAATTCACATATTATTTTATTAGTTTTATTTTTATAACACATATTTTTATTTTTTACATATGCAAGTCGTATTTCTATGAATGTACCACCTTCAAATCTACATTTATGTATTAAAAAAAATCTTGTGCTTTTACAGTTTATTAGAAAGTTTTTGAAAAATGTTCATAGTAAAAGTACATAATACGTTTTCAAAAATAAAACACTACTCTCGATTATTTTCAAAATTTAAATACTATTGGTTCTGTATGAAAAAGGATATTTTAATGTTAAAATAATCGAAGAAGAACCAGTTAATAGATTTTGCCTTACATGCTTTAAGCAAAGAGGCAGATTTCGTATTTAATCTAGCATTATTAGTTTCAGTCTAAATTTAAGGAGTTGGAGTATATGTATTAGACTGAAATGGACTAGAAAGAAAAATAATTAGCAGAGGAGGGAACTGTTTTAGAAATATGAATGCTATTAAATATGTCAGCAACTTTAAAATATAGAAATAAAAATTTACATTAAGATAATCATCTTTAAAGAAAATATGTATGTATGTAAAAAGTAATCATAACAAAATGAAAAAGATATTTAAATGTACTTTTTCATAAGAGCTTTGGAAATTCATGATTTATAATTTTGTCCAATAAATATTATTTTGTATTTTAAAATTTTTAAAACCTTCTTAACGTACCTGGTACTGTTGATATTCTGATATTAAATCATTCATATTACTTTCAGCTTCTGTAAATTCCATTTCATCCATACCTTCTCCAGTATACCAATGTAAAAATGCTTTACGCCTAAACATTGCCGTAAATTGTTCTGAAATTCTTTTAAATATTTCTTGGATTGCTGTTGAATTACCAATAAATGTTGCTGACATTTTTAAACCTCTAGGCGGTATGTCACAAACAGCTACTTTAACATTATTTGGTATCCATTCAACAAAGTAACTGCTATTCTTATTTTGAACACTTAACATTTGTGTATCAACTTCCTTCATTGACATTTTACCTTTACGGAAAATAATGTAAAAATAATGAAATAAATAATATAAAAAAAGAAATGAGAATTATTAAAAATAAAAATTAAAGAATTGAAAAATATAAATTCAAAAAACTTATAACATAATTATAGTGTAGCATATTTTATTTCATATATCCAAACCAATATTTTAAAGCATTCCTTTTCTTCCATAATCAAACTGTAATCCCTAAAAGAATGAGTTTTTTCATAATAATTTTAATTTTTTATTTGAAGAATAAAATAAAGATTTTGTGAAGAATAAAATGTCCTTGCATTTAAGTGTATCTAAATATTCGAATATTATGCACATAGTGAAGTTGTTAAACTTATGATAAGTAGATTCTATGTTCACCAAAACTGTAGATATTACACAAACACAAAGAAAATTAGAAAATTGTGTAGGTGATTGACGGGGGAGAAAAATTGGAAGAGGAGGGGGAATAATACATGAATGTGGAAAAACCTACAATATTTTGTTGTTTTTAAGGAATTTAAATCTATAAAGTTAATCAAAGGCGTCTTATACACTTGTAAGTATAAGTAAGTGCACTTTTGTTGATGGCTCCACATGTGAAGTTTAGTGCAATCTTATACCTTTCTTTTATTATTCTACTCCATGTAGTGAGTAAAAATGTTTTAAAAAGTAATCGTATTCTCACATCTAAAGTATCAGTGTATATGAGACACCTACGTTTGTGACTTCAATAATTTTTTCATTTTATAAATTTTTTGCCAATGAAAATTTAAGAAAATGGTCAAAATTCTGTAAAAAAATCCAAAAATATCAAAAAATTACGAACGAAATTATTATCGGTTTAGAGAAAACCAAAAAAATAAAAATGAAACAAATTACGTAGTATACAAAATTAAATAATATATGGGTTGCAAGTTCTTTGCTTTTTCAAAAAATTGTTTATGTGAATGTTCTATCTTTTTTGGAATCGAAGTTATCAGCAAAAAAAACTTGGGCAAATAGAAATTTCTTGAAGATCTCCCTGCATATAAATATTGTACTCTTTACTGAATCACCCTGTATCTATGTTTATAACTGATTTAGATCAGATTTAGATCAGATTAGTATTTTTTAGTACATTTCCAAAAATATTTTTCCTCTGGAAGCGGCAAAAACGTACATTTGTTTCTCAATTTTATTTTAATGTTCAATTCTAGCAATAATATTTTAAAAATTATCACTTATGTAATATTATGTACATCTCCTAAATTTATGCCATATGTAATAAGAGAAAACTATTGAACCAGTAGAGTGTAGACCATTGAAACCTCTCTAAAGAATAAATATGTAGATAATATAAAAAATAGAAATTCTTGATTTAAATTATTAGAGAGAAAGGTTCTACTTTAAGAAATAATCAATTAATCAAAATTTAACAAATTTCAAGGGATCCAGATCAAATGAAAGTTCAACCTTACAGGAAATTAAAGCTTAATAAAAAGCTTAACATTCAAAATAAATCGACTATTCTAATTACTCATAACATAAAATAATTCGCATATTATTCTAATGTGAATTATTTGAAATTTATTTGAAGGTTTGAATTATAAATTTTGTGGCGGGCCCCATTTACAACAAAACAATTTAAGAATTACAAATCTCGCGAATCGATCTAATAAAATTCTGAAAGTTTATTGGAAATTCTTCAAATAATAGATTTGATTTTTGTATGTGTAATTCACTATAATTTTATATTTTTTTTTAATAAATTTAATTCGTATAAAAATTTTAAAGTTTTCCTGGGGAAAAAAAAATAACCTTAAAATTATTTTCTTTTTTTTTTTAAATTAAAAACTTTTTAAAATAACAAGATGAAAATTTCATTCATAGAATGCAGTAAAAAGTTGACGGAGAGGAAAAATTGTCTCAAATTAACAAAAGGCCCAACAATTTTAATGTTTCCAAAAGATGGGAAAAAAAATTTTACAAAAACAAATTCTAATAGGATTTTCCTTTTAAATTTTTTTTCTCCCATCTTTGTTTTTTTTTTCTTTGGCTCGAAGAAAGAGTTTAAAGAGTCCAAAAGTTTGATTTTTTTTTTCGCCCTTTGTAAAATGCAAATGAACGCAGCTTATATTATTCAAGAAGGATATAAGTACGAGTATAATATTTTAAATAGAAAACTAAGGTAAAAAACAAATGATTTTTTTTTTCGTAAGGACTTTTTAAATCTCCCCCAAATGTCTATTATAAAATATTCATTGAGTTTTTAAATTTTTCTATGAAGTGAGAATAAAAAGAAAACAGATTTGGTCCCTTAGCTTTCATTTTATGTATATATACATATATTATGTATATAAATATATTTGCATTATATAAAGTTGGGCATTATACATACGTACATATTATAATGTTAAATGAACTAATGTATACATAAAATAATGTACAAAGTTAAGTGTTGTAGTAGACAATTGACAAAATTTTTACTGAATTTTTTAATCTCTTCTTAAATATACCAATTTTTGGAGGATTAAATATCCATTATTTTGTTACAAAATAAAATGAATAATAAAATTCCTTTGTTTTGAGATTTTAAAAAAGAATGCGGAAGGTATTTTGTGTTATACATTTTGTATATATGTATATATAAGATGTAATTTAAAATTTATAAAAAGAAAAATAAAAAATAAATAAAAATATTAGGGAAATTTACGTAATATAAAACAAAAAATTAAATTTTTTTAAAATAATAAAAATAATTTTTTTGAATATTATTCCTTAATAAAGACTCATTGTTATTTATGTGGCAATAAAATAAATTAATTAAATTGATTTTGTTCTGGTTTTTAATTTAGTGAAAAAACAAACTATTTTTGTTGCAGTACCTTTCTTTTTCTTTAATTTTTCTATAAATTTTAATTTGAAGGCAAATTTTTGGATTTGTGAAAAATTTCTAAATAAAATTATATAAATAAATTAAGTTTTATTTGAAGGGCTACCAATGCAAAGAATTTTAAGATCAATTTCCTAAAATTCTAAATAATTTATACATGCAATTGTAAATGAAATTAAAATATTTAAGCAATGCAGTCTCATCAAAACGATTTGCAAGCGCATATTTTCAAAAAAATTTATGTATCTTGATTTTGAAAATTCTTCATATAAAACACGTTTGATGAATTTTTTATTACAGGATATCAATGAATAACATTATGTATTGCTTGTGATTTTGACCAATTAGCTTTAAAAGATCTACTATATTAAAAGTGAAGCTCTGTGTGTGTACTAATTTTAATTTTGAAGAATTTTTTGACGTAAACTTGACGATGGCAAGAAAGTTAGTAATTGTTTAACAATTTTAAATAAAAATTAAATTTACTAACAAAATTATAAAAATTTACAAAAAATTATGACTGAGATTTGAAATATTAAAAAATTCAAAAGTAGTTTTTTATTTTATGAAATATTTTTATGATACAATTTGGAATTATTTGTCATGATTGTGAATAGTTATTAAGTAAGATTAAATTATATTCAAAATCGGCAATATTGTTTGATTTAAATGTTTGTTCCTACTTTTATATATATGCTTTTACATGACAACCATCGTCCAAGCCGAAAATTGTGCTGTGATTTTACTAAACACATTTTTGGAAGCAATAACGTTACTATAACATCTGTGCGTCAACATTTTTAGCATATAAGTGGTTAATTTTTCCAATAAGTTTATTACTGGAAATTGTGACCAACGCAATAACCAACATTTTTCCATTTTTGTTCAAAAATGTTGCAAATAACTATGCGCATGTAAAATAGTCAAAATGCCTTTTTTGCTGCAAATTCATCAATGCTTTTTGTAAAATTGTAGGAATTATTTTCGACACAATTCCTTTTGTAAGTTTAAATGTGATATCTTCTGATTAGTAAAAGTTAGCAATTAAAGAGAGTTTTTTTCATTACCTAAGGCAATGTTAGTAATTTAAATTATAGATAATATTTGGTTCTGGTAAGGTGAAGTAGCCTAGTAATTGGTCTCTGCATAAACCACATAGTTGGGTCCTTCATAAATAGCAATACAACTTTTCTAGCATTTCCCGAAAAGATCTAAGTAGCATTATGTTGCGATTTAATTAAAGCGTATTTTGTGTGTTGAATTTGAATGTTCTTGTTTTCGATGATTCTGGTTAATTCTTTTTATATTATATAGTGAGAAGCAAACGGTAAATAAAGTCAATGAGAAGTAACAGTTGACTAAACTAATTTTGTTTGAAATTCATTTTTCTTAAAACATTTTACCAGTATAGAGCACCATTTTAATAAAAGTATATTGAAGTTATAATCATAATTATAGATGATGTATAAAATATTTTCAAAATACATAATGAAGGATTCAATATGGTTCTTATATTTATTGTTATACTCTAATATATAGTTCTTATATTCAGTTAATGTTATTATATTTAGTATCCTATATTCCTTAAGGAATTACAATTTCTTAAAAAAAAAATTACTTATCTTATTGATGTATGGAATATAAAATTAAATAAAGGATATTAAAAAAATTTCTATAAGAAACAACAAATCTAATCTTATTTATTTTTATGTTTCATGAATTTTTCATAATTGCATTCGATGTTTCGTTTCACATTCTATACATACAAACTTCAATTGTCTTACTATATAATTTTAAAATTAATATTTTTTTTTGTAAATTTCCCAATATAATGTAGATAAGGATGCTTGAATGTAGTAAATGCATTCTAATTATATACTATATAACAAGAGATACCAAACTAAAATGTCAAATATATTGTATTTATTCTCTCTCTTGTGCAGCTTCTTCAAACATACTCTTATCTCTAAAACAAAAAACAAAAAAAAACAGAATGTAATTTGAAGTAAATTTCCAGAAGGAAATGAAAATATTACAGTTTATATTATTATACACTAATATACGTAATTGCTATTATTGTAAAAATTATAATGAGCATCGGGAATTTATGAACAAGCTTGTATTTTTTTATGTTATTAAGTA